ATAATAGTTATAATTATTTTAAATATATATTATATGTACCAAAATTTATAACCATGTGTTTTATATCCAGTATTTTGTATTTTAAATCTTAAATAGCAACACTTTGCATGAAAACATTAGTAACTTTCCAATTTTTCTAAACGATGATATAAACTTCATTAAAAACAAATGAAAAGGTTGTAAATCAAGGCCCAAATCAAATATTATGAAGTTAAGACCCAAATCTACAGAAAATAAAAGTTTAGGCTTTGTTTGTTTTTTTAATTGGTTTTTTCAAAATTAAATAATAATAACTGTTACATTTCATCATACCTTTGTACATTTCCAATACACCTTTTTATATTTTCAATACAAAAAACACCTAAAAATACATACTAAAAAGCCAAAACAAACATACCCTTAAGGTTTATAATAGGTTTATAAAAGTTAAGACCCAATTCTTGTTTGCTCAAACAAGAAGAACGATCAGTTCAAGTAAATTTCACTAATAATTTGGTATTATCTTGCAAAGAATTCAGTAGAAGCCGTTTTTCTCTTTATTATATCGAAAAGTTTCAAATTTATAATTTTTTTGTTCCCAATATTGTCCTATATTAGATATATATTTTTTTAAAAAAATTTAAACCTCATAGGCCGTATGCTAATGACTTCTAGTTACAAAATGGATGTAAAATGTCAATGAAGTGGTTCTAAATACAATGAAATAGATTTTTAATGAGGAAAAAAAAATGTATTTTAGTATATATAACCTTCTAGCGCTAAATATTTATTTTCAGTATTTTCTACTCTTACTTTGATGACTTTTATTTTGCATCCCCTTAGTCTAAAATCCTGGCTCCGCGACCACCTTGGGTGTTTATGCATTTCCCCATTTATTCTGATGGCTCGGGTATTGCTCACACTAAGTATTTTCAATTTGTAAATGAATGAATTAAAATGCTACTCCCTATAAAATTTTAACATTCCCCTCCCCTCCATTTGGGAATCCTCATGTAAGTGACACATAAATACCTGGAACCTCCAAAACTAGCGTTACACTTGAAGATTTAGCTCAAGCATACTATATTGCTGGATTTGTACTCTTAACTAGGTCGAAATTGGGAATTTATAATCTATAATATTGTCATTATTTTGACAAAGACAGAGTGATAAGATGAGAAGAACTTACTTTGGCAAGAATTTATGTCAGATATGTACTAAACTGAACAGGTATATAATCTCTTTTTTCATCGGTTTGGTGCAATAGAAGATCTACCCGAAATAGCTTATAAACTACAAATTTAAGTAAAACATAATAATTATCCTAAGTAACCAAACCACAAAACACTTTCTTATGATTTTGATCTGAATTCTTTGATTCTGATACATGGCTAATTGTTTAATACATTACAATAAAAATTAGCAGTTGAGACACTTTTTCTGTGACTTAATAAGTGATGTAATAGGACACAAGTGACTTAAATTGCATAGGACACTACTAAATAATGTCTACTATAATCGAGTCAAAATAAATCATAAAATATTTGAAAGTATATTATTAGATTGTCATTTAATAAGATACTTTAAAGTAGACCATTAAGTAAGATATCACCCCACAAACAACTTAAATAGTGTACATTTATGATAGTCTTTCATAATATGAACACATTTTTTCATTTTTCAATAAAACACTTTTTTAGCAAATGTCCTAACACACATATAATCATACATATTTCTATAAAGATATTAATAGTCCTTATTTGTTGTAGTGATACAACTAGTATACTAATATGATCACTTATGTTACTAACTACTAGTGTATTTATTTATTCTAACCCCTATTGTACTTATCATAAGGTATTTTGATTTCTTCTAAGTTTATTTTATCGTGTTTTTTTAATTAAAAATGACACCTCAAAAATATTCTATAATAATTAGGAGAATACAATAATATAAAAATACATTTTTAAGATTTTATTTTCAATTAGAAGAACACAATAAATACTTTTTAATAAAAATAAGAGGGAATAGTAATTTTTAGGTAGAAAAATGATATTCTATTCGTCCTGAAATAAATGATTGTTTAGTTTAGACCTTTATTTTTAGTATAAATCTAAACTAATAATTATTTTGCTACAAATGAAATAGTATCATTGAAAACTTAGCAGATGGGACGATCGTTTTGGGACATGTGAAATAATAACTAATAACAATAGGATAATTATTATTAGCTAAAATAGTTACTGATATAACACGCTCATGAATACATTCTTTTTTTAAAAAAAAACTTATCAATTATTAAAAGTACAATTATATTCTATTTTTTCCCCCTTTTCTGTCCCATTCAATGCGTACTAATCTTCTAAGTAATGTATCTTATAATAATTGTTATTCCCTCCGTCATCTTAGATCATTTACAATAATTTGAAACATACAATAATTATTTCAAAACAGAAGGAGTATTTTGTTTCACCCAGTGCGGTTCAAGAAGATTCAGTCATCGATTTGGGGTTTTCGTCAGATGATTAGAGACATGTTTTTGATCAGATTGATTATCTGTTACGTGGTATATCAATCGTTGTATTGGATAACGAGAAACATAATAATAGTATTAAATTTAATTGTAAGTTGTGTTCTTATTTTGACTGTATCTTTCACTATCAATAGTTGCTGGACGATTTCTAATAAAATAATATAATATAATTTTTATTTTAAAAAAAAATGAATATCAAAATGGTATACTTTCTTATTTTATCTTTTTTTTGTGGGGAAAAAATTAAAGATTATTGCTACATGCCTTAAACCGTTGACTTTTGTCAAAGAAAGATCAATACCAGCGAAGGAGCGTATCAAATTGATTTGCTGGTTACATATTAATATGCATTTTTTTTGTTAACATTTTCATAATCTTTTAAAATCTCAGAGAGGACAATTTTCTATGATTCTTCACCTTATAAAAATTAGAGAATCCTTATATAGAGGTGAATTGATTGTGGTGGTCTTCTCGAGGAACATGGTGCATAAGGACATCTAGAAGGTTGAACTTGGGCGGCTCGAGCTTGTGGATCATCGATTCTGAGAAGGTAGTAGTTGAGTAGATAAAAGTCAAGATACATATTCTCGAACACTTTGAGTAAGTAGTATGGTGATCGAGGGATGGTGTCCCCTTCGAGGAGATATATCTTTCAAAATTTCAATTTTAAAAATTACCCCTTACTTCGAAGGGCTTGAGAGCTTATCTGTAAAATTATAAAAGTATTAGGATTAAATTATAATAATCAAAATTATTAGAGACTCAGTGGCAATTCTTGAATTGAGAAATTGTCTTCGGCTGATATTTGGGCTCCTTCATCGGATTATGAACTCTAGAGATTGTTCTGTAAAATCAGAAACTTTAGGTGTTAAAATAAAAATAATGTAATCTTTAAGGACCAATCTGCAAGTTTTGTGCGTCTTTTTTTTTTTTTTGGCTGAAATCGATAATCATATATTAAGAAAAGACCAAAAGGTAACATTTACATCGAGAAATGACAATCCGCCTTAAACGACTCATCCAATCACAAAAGGACATTACAATCCCAACTTTGTGAACATATGTTGATTGAGGCTAATTTGGCTAGATTGTAACTAATAGTATTCCACTGCTTACGAATAAACAAAAATTTACAAAATTCTAGCTTCGATTTTAACAAAAAAATGTCATCAGCTCTGGTGCTTACATCTGAAACAGGGGAGAGTTTCCCTTGTAACCAAATAACAATAGCCTTTGACATCTAACTGGATTTCCACATGTTGTAATCCTCTCTTCAAAACTTCCCAAAGTACTATTCTTGTCGCAATCAGTTCAACAGGCAGTGAATTATACACAGAAGAAATAGGTGTTGAGACAGCAGTGATTAACTCTCACCTTGTTCATTGCGAATACAGAAACCTGCTCCAGCTCTTCCCCTTTGCCATCTCTGAACTCACATTGACTCTGTGGTAGCCTGGTGGAGGTTTATTCCAGCTCTAATTCGCCTCATTCTGTTGCACATCACTTCCTTGATTTCTACCCCTCAATTGCTGCACATTTTCAAACTCATGCCATTCACTTACTGCTCTCTGCACTATGGTCCCAGCCTCTATTTTCTCACCACCAAACTCATGCCATGCACTTGTGCGTCTTGTCTCGCTGCGTTTGGCGTCCATGGGCTGGTTGCTTGGTTCTTGGCTGCTGCATATTTATTGATCATAAAAGTTAATCATTTACCAATTAATCACGTAGTGATGTGTCAATAGTAATTAAGGATAAAAAAGTAATTTTGGGGGGAAAGAAAAGATTTAAACGGCAAAATAGCAACTAAATAGGCAACTAAATAGGGAATACATATCAGTCACTATATTTTCTCACTATATTATTTCACTAAAAATATTATTTTTCTAAAAATTAAGCTGAAAATATTCTCAAGATTTGGAAGTAAAGTAACCAACGAACTACTTCATCATGATTGGTGGTGATAGACCACCGACCACGTGAATTTGAGAGGTCTCTTAAAATGATGATTTACTACGAGTATCTTCAAGATTTGGAAGTCACCAATAAAAATATTTCATTGTTCAAAGTATTTTCTTGCTGTTTTATATTTTGTTCACATTTAACGAATTTCTTTTAGCAACGTTTACAACAATAATAATCCCACATGAAGATCATTTACGAGCAAGTGTATGGTCAATAAAAAAGTTATAATTTCAAAATGAAACCATTACTACGGAACAAAACCGGATACATTTATTATCCTTTTTTTAAAAATAAATAAATAAACAATAAAAAATCATCAGAAATGTACCCCCAAAACAATTGATTGGGCTTGTCAGTCAAAACTCTAGATCATTTCTTGGGCCAAATCCCTATAAACAGCCCAATATTCGTCGGCCTCTAAACTCAAACCCCCAAAATCGGTATAGGGTTTTTGGACTCGTAAACCTCCCATCGGCTTCTTCACCTGAGAGAGAGAGAATCAGAGGCGAATCACGGCACAGAAATGCCCCTCAAGACCTTGTTTCGCCGGCGTACCTTCAAAGAAATCTTAAATCTCAACCGCAGAATCTCATCTTCTCAAAAACCCTACTGTTATTCTGCCCGAAATGCCGCCATTAATAATCCCTCTTCTTCTTCCCTCACCGGAACACCATTTCAATCTCTGGCCACCCAATTTTGCCGCTTCAATCAACCCAATTGGTATCCAAACAGATGTATCCACACGATGCAACAACGTAACGATTCAGAAGATGAACCGGAAGAGGACCCCGCGATGAATGATTTCTTGTCAAGGTTCGTCTGGATTATGCGTGGGAAGCTTTCTGAAGCTTATCCCGACAGCGAGAAGAGCACAATAGATGCGATGTTGTTGATTATTGTTGAGAAAGTTGTGTCCGAAATGGATAAGGGCGGCCCTGAGCAAGTGATTCGGTCCGGTGAAGGGACCCCTCCTGAAGATTTTAGTCCAGACTTGTGGAGAACGGTTTCTGAGGTCAGTAGTATTGTTTTAGATGATATGCAGAAAGCCCAGAAGAAGGAGAAAATGAAGTACTTTTTGCAGTCTGAGGAAGTTCAGGTGATGAGTAGGTTTGCTGGGGAGATTGGTATCCGTGGGGATATGCTTAGGGAGCTAAGGTTCAAATGGGCTAGAGAGAAAATGGAAGAAAGTGAGTTTTATGAGAGTTTGGAGAGCTTAAGACAAGAGGCAGCAGCAGCCCAAGAAGAAATGGTGTCTGGACAAGCAGGCCAAGAACAGATTTTGATTGAGGGTAATGTTGTTGATCAGCAGGTGGATGAAGGAAAGCCTAATGTTGTATCACTTCCAAAGAGGCATGGGAAATTGAAGTATAAGATTTATGGTCTTGATTTATCTGATCCAAAATGGGCTGAGGTAGCTGATAGAGTTCATGAAAGTGAGGATATCATTTGGCCTCAAGAAGCAAAGCCAATAACTGGCAAGTGCAAAATTGTTACTGAGAAAATCCTTTCTTTGGGATTGGACGATGATCCCTCCCAACTTCTGGCTGAGTGGGCGGAGCTTCTCCAGCCTACTAAGGTTGATTGGAAAGCATTGCTTGATAGATTGAAAGAGCGGAACCACAGTTTGTACTTAAAGGTTCGTTTACACCTCTCCTCGTTGCTGTTTATTTACCTTTTCATTTTCTTACATCTCATTAAAAGATGACCCCATGAGCATCCTAGTGATTTTAATATTACAATTTAGATTAGGAAGTATTTGATTTCTCTGCATAGAGTTACCAGTTATGTGCACTTTTTGAGTAAGCTTTTGAGGGGAATTGAGTTCTGTACACATCCAGATATGTTGACTAAGAAGGTATCAAAAGGGCGGATTTTGCGGAAATTGTTGCAAGTATTACAGGGTCATTACGTTTCATTATCATGCTATAAATCAGGAGTCAGTGCTTGTTCAATATAGGTTTTCTTTTTCCCCCTTACCCATATCCCTTGTTCATTGCTGGCCAGACAGAACTGAATGAGTGAAAAAGTTGCTCAGCTTGCATGACCCGACAATGGACCTCTAGACTCATGCAAGTTGAATGCTTGGAAGAGATCCATGTTTATTTTGTTTATTCATCTTGCCGTTGTAGTTATTGATGTTTATCTGCTTCAGATTGCAGAACTTTTACTCACTGAAGGAACCTTCGAAACAAATATACGCGACTACTCAAAGCTCATTGATGCCTATGCTAAGGAAAACCTCATAGAAGATGCTGAGAGAATTCTTAAGAAGATGAATGACAATGGAATTCTACCTGACATTCTAACATCCACCACTTTAGTTCACATGTATAGTAAAGCAGGCAATCTTGAGAAGGCAAAAGACGCATTTGGAAACTTGAAGAGTCAAGGATTACGGCCAGACATGAAGGTTTACCGCTCCATGATAATGGCTTATGTGAATGCGGGCCAACCAAAGGACGCTGAGCAATTGATAAATTACATGCAAATTAAGGATATGAGACCAACTAGGGATATGTATATGGCCTTACTTAGATCGTTTTCTCAAATGGGTGATGAAAAATCAGCAATGCGAATTGCTGATAGCATGGAATTTGCTGGTTTTGAGTCAGATATGGAATATTATACGTTGCTTGTTGAAGCATTAGGGCGCCATCACCCTGATCAAGCAAGGGTTCATTTTGATCACATGCTCAAGCTTGGGCATAAACCAGATGATAGGTGCACGGCTAGCATGATTGCAGCTTATGTGAAGGAGAATATGTTGGATAAAGCTTTAAGTCTCCTGCTGCAGCTGGAGAAGGATGGCTTTGAACCTGGGATCGCCACTTACACTGTTTTGTTGGATTGGTTTATAAAGTTGCAACTGTTTGATGAAGCTGAACAATTATTAAATAAGATATCTGAGCTGGGTGAGGCTCCTCCACTGAAAGTTCTCGTAAGCCTCTGTGACATGTACTCAAGGGCTAAAATCGAAAAAAAGGCTCTTCAAGGTCTTGGGGTTTTGGAGTCTAAGAAGGATCAGTTGGAGCATGAAGATTTTGAGAAAATTATAATCGGGCTTATAGATGGAGGATTTCTTAAAGATGCTCAAAGAATGCTAATGTTGATGGAAGCTCAAGGATACGCACCATCTAATTCATTGCAAATGTCGTTGTTCCATCTCAGTCCCACAAAACATAGCCAGAGATGGTAACCGGCTTTTTGAATGCTTGAATGTTTGAATGTTCTATGTGGTTTATGTGCTCCGAGTTTTCCTAATTGTCTACACTGAAGTATCCTTGCTGAAGGCTGCCTTTTAATTTGTGTTTTCTAGTGGTTGTGCGTTAAAACATTTCCTTTTATCTGCCAGACCATAGAACACCCAGAAATGGTCATACATGATTCTAGAGCAGCAACATTCTTTTCATCAAGTGACAACTATTATGTAAGAGGTAAAGTGTAGTTCTGATGCTTCACAGTGTTGAGGTGTGTTTACTGTAGTTTGATGGCAATTGACTGGCCTTACATGTAGTTTCTTTTGGTTTTTCCATTTACGTAGTTGGTTCCACCATTGGAGGCAGGCTTAGTTTATAGTCTCTATAGTTGTATTGTTTCTTGTCGAATGGAAGGCTCATAGAATAATGTAAAATGTCATTTAAGGCAGAATTATTGCAAAAGACCATGTAATTGCATCCAAATCATGCAGATTTCAAGGTTCCTTTGTTGTGAACCCTGACTGGCCCTCTTTGCTTTGTGGTTGACATGAATGGTTGAATGTGCTGGTAAAATACATGAGTTGTTGCTAATAATATTCGCCTCTAATGTATTCATTTAGTCGCTTCATATCTCCTCTTTGTTGCTCTACTACTGCACGTACAACATCAACTACCGAAATCATGCCGATCACCTTCCCGTCTATGACAGGAACATGCCGTATGTGGTTATCTGTTAATAATATTACAAAACTGTCATATAATTGTTTGTTAGAGCTATAACCCAAAGCTAACAAAATCACCTGTCATGATCTTCATTGCCTGGAGGACATTGGTATCTGAAGTCACTGTTACTAAGCTTTTCTGTGGAACAGTGCAATTTATTCTTGGTGTAAGAATGATTAGAGGAAATTAAAGCTGAAAATTTAAGGGAAGAAAATCAGGGTGTATATGTATGGAGGCATTCACCTGATCAGTCATGATTTCCCCAACTCTTGTGTATTTAGATGATCTGTCCTTAACAATTACTTTCCGCAGATAGTCTGTTTGACAGTATAATTCACATAACTCATCTTTAAAATAACATTATTTTGTGCAGAACATGCATAATTTTCTATCAGATTTGAGAGTTGCAATAATCCTATTCTTCAGTTCTGCAGCAATTTGTTTTAGAACTTGTTAGTTTTTAACCTGTTTGAAGGTGAAGTTTTCTTTTACTTCCTGTAAGATTTAGATTATTAAACTAGATTGATAGATGTAATTACCTCTCTCTGTAACAATGCCAGCAATCAGCTGCTCCTGTCCTGGTTTTAGAACCACCAAAGATCCTATATTATTTTGTGCCATCTGCATCATTATTGTTTCTGAGTCAAGAGAATTATAGGTGTATAATTTGTAGCAGAAGTAGTAGCAAACATATATGTCAAGCTGATTTATGTATGTCAAAATGATCCTTTAGTACTGAGAGCACAGACTTGCTTGACAGCATCGTACACGGTGTCATCCATGCGACACCAAAGCCAGGATCCAACTTTTTCGCCTTCCTTTGTCATTAGTACTTCTGAGACTGTCATATTCTCAAGCCCTTTGTGCATGACAGCTGAAGGCTCTACTTCTGTTTTGTCCCCAGATTCATCCCCTGAAGGGAGGGAAGTAAGGGAGACATGCTGCAAAAGCTTGTTTTTGACAGCTGTTGTGGCACTTAAGAGCGAATGCTTCAAAACCTTCTCTTGGTAAGATTTGATGGCTTGCATAAAAGATTGCATCGTCGGCCCTGCCAACAATTGAAATTAAGAAAGTTATCCCGGCAAAGTTTAAGCTTCTTGATGGAGTCTTAATTGGGATGGATTGATAGTAATTAGAGCTGACTTACAGTGAAAGTTTTGCCGATATCAGAGAATTTGCATTCAATGGACAAACCTTAATGACAATATGGTTTATGTGAATTACTGTTTAAGTACTTGTAGCTTACAATTGGTGCTTCTCTTTGGTTCTTTGCTTCAATACAAATCTTTTGAAATTACTTTGCAAGAACAGTTAGTCCGATTACCTAGTTAACAAGTTAATAATGTCCCCCTTTTCGATTCCTTTTTCTTTGCTCATGATTCGGCTGGGTATCTATGCTTTTTTTCTTTGATTTAGGTACGACATGAAAACGTGAAACTAGCATCAAATCGCTATATATTCCTTTCTCTGCTATCCCACATTTTGCACATACTGGTGAAGCAAAGATTCTAGCCTATCTGCCAAGAAAAACTGTCTTACATAATCAGACCAAGGCAGGCAAAGAAGTATAGAAAGCTACGCGGGCAAGTTAACAGACATGGATTGGTCTATAAACTTTCCAAGGAATCAAATGGAAAACTTATTTAGTTATATCTATTCTGATTTCGGATCTCGAGTACCAGCATTTCCAGATATTCATCTCTTCAAGTTATTTGCCCATCCTTTGAATATCCATGGCAGACCAAAGACCTACATTCCGTTTTCGCCTTCCTTGGTTACCAGCAGCACAACCTCCTCCACGGCCATCAGTACCCCGGCCACCCGCTCAACCTGCTGCTACTACCACCCCAGCCACAAGAACACCACAAACAAACCCACCTCAACCAACCCCTAGTCAGCCGACAACTACGCCCACATCACAGACAGTTGAAAACCAAGTACCTACTCCACTGCCTGCAACCGTCCCAACTGGCCAAACAGGTGAAACCGAATCCCGTTCAGAGTCAAACATTGCTCCCAACCCCTCCCCAACAACAGCAACTACTACAACACAATCAGCCGAGACTCAAAACCCCGTCCAGCCTCCTACTTCAACCACAAGCCCCCAAACTGCTGAAAGGCCACCATTCAGGCCTCCAGGGCTAGCCCCATCACCGGCCCCTGCTCCTTCCCCTCAATCTCAGACACCGAGAACTCAATCAAAGCTACCACCATCGCCATCTCGTGCCACGGTCCAACCTCGAGTCCCTTCTCCATCAGCGTCGCCAAATAGAGCAGCTGCACAATCTCGGACCCCTTCCCAGCCATCAACTCCACCTCGTGCAACTCCTCAACCACGAGCAGTATCTCAGCCTTCAAGTCCAGCTCGCAGATCCCCTCAGCTCCCATCAGCACCCCGAACATCCACACAGAGATCACCATCTCTTCCAGGTGTTGGGCCATCAGAGCAGAAATCGTCACCATCTTCTCCATCTAGATCAAATGCTCGAGTGAAAACTACACCAGAATTTGGTAAGCAGCCAACTTCTCCATCGAGAGGAGAACGAAGCCTCCCAAAAGTGAGCTCTCAGCCTCCAGAAAGTCCGTCCTACGAAGTTGCTTCTACATCCGACATACAGCATCCAAAATCAGCAACATCTGAAATACCATCCCAAGCTCTAAGTTCAAAAGCAGAAATCATATCTGAAGAAGTAACCGATCCCCATGATCGAGCCCCGCTTGAAATTGGCAGTCAACTCAATGAGATGAAAAAGCATCCTTCAGAAGAATCAAGGGATGGAGTAGCAAAAACACATAGCCCAATGGAAGGTCCAGAGAAAGCTGAGCCAACCCAGACATCCCATAATTCTACAACTAACCCCGAACCTGAATCCCCTAAAGAACTGAAGCCTGAAGAAACCATGGAAGTGAAAGAAGTTATGCAAGGAACTATAGACAATGCACAAGAGGAAGCCAGGAACAAAACCAATGCATTCCAATCTGAACCAACGCTGAAGACAGTAAGCAGAAAGGACATAACGGAAACGTCTGCCTCTAATGGTAGACATACCAAAATAACAACAGCCCACCCGAAAAACAATAGCTTGCCAGGTGATAATCGGCATAAACATCCCATGTCCAACGGACAGCATGTTGCTCCGCTGCACAAAGAGATCCGAGAAGACATCTCAAAGCTTGTTAACAAAATGGCTGCTGGTGAGTCCAAAGAGCCCATTGAAGATAGACCGGTGAGCATTGTTACTCTTGCAGGTGAGAATCGGGGAGCGACAATGCATGTTGGTTCTGACTCATCCCGGAAAGAAGGGGCAATACACATTCACAGAGGATATAAGATCAAACCTGATGGAAGTCCTGAAGGAACAACAGATGGAGAAGAGGGTTTCAAGGCAAAACAATCTGACCACCTGAAACCAAAAGAAGATCAAGCACCAGAAGCATATGTCAACAGCAACGTTCAGGCAATCAACAACTCAATTATGCTCAACAGTTCCATAACCGAAGGGAATCCTGGAGTCCATCTCGTTCGCTCGACCTTTCCCACAGAATCAAAGACGCCATCTGCAAAACCAGAGCTGCTGGACACGCGAAAGGCTGAATTCAACACGACACCATCCTGGAAGCTAACACATGAACCTGTTGTCAGAAGAAGATGCCTCAGAGGCCTGTTCTTGGAATCAAGTGACTCTGACATGGATAGCACAAAGCCTCGGAGTCATGGTTGTCGTGTTGCTTGCAATGAAAAGAGGAAAGGGAATGACATTGATGTTCTGTAACCAAGAAACTTCAACAATGTTCAAAGATAATTAAAATCCAGCAATTTCATCCCAAAGAATAAAGCGCAGCAATAGGGAACAGCGGAAAGCTATGAAATCAAAGGAGGAAATTGTGTTTCTATCCATTGCATCCAGTTGTTAAACATCATTGTTAACATACAGTATTTATTTTTATACAGCCTAAATTTCCATTATCCATCTCCAATGTGATTAAGAGGAGCCAAATTTCTCAGGAAATACGCGTCACATGACTCACATCTTCGTAAATATCTGCTCAAAATAACTTGCATTTTCAGAAGTAAATACATTTGGAAACTACAATCATAATGCTGGGCTTTCACAGACTAAGGTGTGAACACATACGGGTCCTGCTAATGACAACCTACACAGCTTTCTTACAATATTTACACAACTAACTTTGGAAAAATAACCATCTACACCTACTCGCAAGCTGGCTTAGTATCAAAGCTGCTCAAACAGATTGCAAAAGCCTGGAAGGCAGAAAGTGGATAGCGATAATCCATAGTAAAAATGTCTTTTCCAATCTTCCCAAACTGTAGGATAACTTTATCAAGTTCTTCCACAGGAAGAGCCTCTGACGGTTCAATAGCTGCCACCAGCTGAAAGTTCTTGACAGAGGCCACCGTGACACGCCCTTTGAAATTTAAGCACCAGCATTGCAATTGCTCATGCCATCTAGGAGATTTGTTTCTCAATACTAGAGGATTGCTGGTGTTGTGACATGATTCTGATTCCTCAGCAACAATATTGGAGTTAGATTCTTTGTTATTCCCCTTTATACAAGAAGTGCAAGACGGTTCCCCCTCACAGAAGTATCCAAATGTATCAGGAGTAGGTGCAATTCCCCCATCCTGAAGTGCAGAAACAGGAATACTGTGCATGGTGCAATTCATTCTTCTAGGTCCTCTTGTGCGGAGAACATTCAACTCATAGCTTATTGAAGCTACATTGTAGTTCCGAAGGAATGACCTAGGTAATGCTTTCTTTGGGGGGTCATGCAACTGGCCTCTCGAAGAGATCAGGGAGTTGAATGTGGCCTGAGAATCGTAAATGATGAACTTGGTACCAAGGAAATTGGACCTAAACAAGAATACCGATTAGCTACACGAAAATATTAGAAGCCAAAATGAGAAAAGACAAGGGATCAAAGTAAACCTCAATCTCCCAACATAGTTTTCATTAACTCGAGAGAAATCGTCAGAAGCAAAAGATATTAGAAAGTCTGTTTTCGTGGCCCTTCTAACTTTTTTGGCCGCTAACAAGAGCTTACTTGCGTTTCCTGAAAGTGCTGTGAGTACCCAAAAACGGGAAAGAAAAAAAAAAAAAAAGAAAGAAAGAAATTAGAACCAGAATCTTATCCCAAACCTTAAAGGACTCAAAACACTAAAGAAAAAAAAGAATATCATCACTTTACCAGGACTCAATCCCAAATACAGTCTAAAAGTTGAAGATCCCCTTTCTCTTCGGATAAAACACTGGATTGGGTTATCTCTTGGTCCAGGCTAACAACAGAACAAGGAAAAGTCAGTGTTGCTCATGCCACAACAAGAGAATTGTCCCAACAAAAAAGGGTAATTCAATAACCTGTTTGAGTGAAATGGGAAAAGTGATCAGGCCACATTGTTCAGGTGTCCTAACAACTTCCTTAGTTACTTCTCGCCATGACCGGCAAACAGCGGCGCAAGCAACCACATCCCTTCTAGCAGGCCAGGAAGTCTCACTAGATTCGACTCGACGGATGATATCAAGAAGCAATTCTGATGGTAAATTGGACCACTGACTTTGCTGAGTAAACTTAGGCTCAGATGATACTGATGGGAGGGGACTTTCCGGGGCTATATGCGATCTTCCCCGGCCTATCCCACTCTTCCTCTCACCCTGTTTCCTTAAACTATTGTCCATACCGCAGGTTATTCCACTAAGCTCCCTAAGCATCGACTTAATCGACATACTCTTCAAGCAATCTTTCTTTTCAATGAAAATTCAAAAGAAAACCCAATTTTTCCAAATGATAAATAATAATGAACAAAAGAAAATTCTAAATCAAGCTCGCTCCTTTTCTCACAAAAACAGGTTTCAAGGGTAAGTTTCACAGGACCAGAAGACAGTACTCAAAAGTTCATCTTTTAACAGGGTAAATTGTCGGGGAAGAGTAAAGCAGCACTGTTTCTTCTTCAACTACTGCCAGTTAACAAAACAGGGCCAATCAAGTTTCAAACTTTTTCCAGGTTAAAATTAATAAGGTGCAGATTGCACTAGAAAACCTTACTACTTATGTAAACAAATGCTTCAAGGAAAAAGTAAAACTACAGCCCCAAAAATAATCCCTACTCTTAAGCTCATTGAAGGATGCACAAGAAGAAGAATCATTCAAAACAGAGAAAACACATTCTCAATTTGAGAAAATGGCGTGCGAATAAACAGACACAATTTCCGCATCCGGGTTAAGACTTAAAAGAATGATGATTTAATTACCTCTTCGCTCTTTTTCCCCCTGAATTTTCTCAACAGCCAAAAATAATTTTTTCCCTTCTTCAGAAATTATAGGGGGGAAAGAAATGCAAAGACAGAGGAAAAATCAAAAAATGAAAAGATCAGAACTTTTTTTTCTTTCATTCATGAAAGACACAAACTAATAAAAAGGGTGTGCAAAATGAGGAAAATATAAACACAAATGCCGATGCCATAAAATTTAAGGCCAAAAGCCAAAACCCATTCACGTTTCGATGTCTCCCAGACACAAAGCACAAAACCCACCTCTGATATCTTCAATACCCGTCGTCCCCAATGCTTAGAAAGAATATACGTCGTCCTCTTTATTCAATATTTTAACCCATAAGAGAAAAAAGAATCAATTTTTTTCCTCTCTTTTCTTGTAGACCAATGGGAAAAACAAAGTCCCAAATAAAACAAATTGGGAAAAATGCCGGGTTGTTAACTATATGCTATGGAAAAATCAGCAAACCGCCACGACCACCGTGTAAGGAGGAGCACCGCCACGCACCACCACCGTAAGGTTTACAAAGCCACGTTCGCCGAAGAAGACTCTCTCGTACGTTGGATTTAAATGGATAAGTAATGGGTCAATCAATCTGACCCACGTATAAAAGTAACAAGTTTTTTTTTTTTTTTTAAAAAAAAAAGAAAGAATAAGTTAACCGCTTGCCTTAAAAGAAAAAGTCCGAAAAGAAAAATGGAATTTTCGGATCCGTTACGTTAAGTGGGTGGGTTGGAAGTTGGGTCATGATTCGGAACTTTGGGTTACGTGTAGAAATGTGAGCGGCTCGGAGTTAAGACGTTGAATTTCGGGTACTGAATTTAGGGATCAGAACCCGGGATGTGCACCCTGAAACCTCAACCGGTTTCCCAAACGCAGGGGGCATTTCCAATTTTCCAATGTAGTTCTTTTTTGCGGGAAAATAAATTGGGAGTTACAGTTATTACTAGTGACATTAAAAAACTGGTGAAAAGACGAGGTAATTTTGAGGCACAAAATATGACATAACATATGACGCCGTTTTTCCCATCTCATTTTGATAATTACATGGAAGACATTCATTTCCAAAAAAATGAACTTGTTGGTAAATAGCAGATCAAATGGATATGGATATGGTCGGCATTCCAAGATATTGGATCATCGAAACCTAAGGTTCATTGCATCAGCGACAACTTTTTTTTTAGGTAGTTTGTTCGATGATAATATGGCTAACACAACTTTTGCAAATTGCAATCATATTTTTTAAAGCAATTGAATAACTCCCGATGTTCCAAAATTATTGTCCAATTTGAAATTTCACTTTTAGTATAATCTAAATGAGAATCGAAAACTCAAACTGAACAATAATTATGAGACGGATGGGTGGAGTATTATTTTGGGACTAGTGTAACTAATTAGACAGTAATTACCATAATACACTCCAGGAATTGACAGTGACTGAAAAGTTAGGTATACCTTATCGGGTGTTGGTTGTGATTATAATTGGTTTCAACTTTCATGTAAATGCCCTACTACTAGAAACAACCATAGTTGTGAGTTGTAATAGTAGTATAGTACATTCAAAAAATTATTGAAATCCCTCTTTCTCAGTGAATCTTGTGGCTTATAATTTTGTTATCGATGCGATTTTTCGAGTGTCAAATCGGAGGAGAATGTATGGACAGAGACTATCAGACGAATAAAATTAGTTGGTTAATTTTCTTGAGATGGTATAATCTACACCTTTGATCAGAAGTTTATCAAGATGATGTACCTCCCGAATAAGGCCCGACCTTGCAGAAAGATTTGATGTGTGGATTGAATCCATAAATAATTGACTAACTTTTTGGTGCTCTAATTTGCAAGTTGCATTGCTTTGATTAAACATCCATGTCTTCCGAATGAGTGTTTTGGATTAGGTTTAATTTATAGATAACTATCTATCTTTGTCACCGTTTTTGCTTAATTTGTTTAAAGACAGCTCCTATTATTAGTTCGACAAAGATTATCTATTGAATTTCCAATTAATCAAAACAATCCAATTTAATTTGTGATAGTGATGATGGGAGATTTTGAAGTATTATCCCACATTGGTGTCTGGAGACACTTTGTATCAGTATTTAAGCATTATCATGGGCTACTCCCCTCATTGTCAATTGGTTTTGAGGTGGAACCCCATGAACTTTTACAGGAGACGAATCCTAATTTCCATAAAATGATTAGAATAGCTAAAGGAAACGTGACAATATAACTGATAATATAATAACGTTACCAAATGCTATGAAGCCGAGAAGGGAATAGGTGTTATTAGGGAAATGACAATGACGGAAAAGTACTTTAGTTTTGTTTTGCTTTTAGGGGATGGTTTTTCATTACGGATTCATGAATTAAAATTCCAAGTACCAAAAACTAAAAAGAAACATGCACGTAAGTGAATCCCTTTTTTTTTTTTTTTCCTTTCTTTTCGGTCACATCCTAATTACTAGTTGTTTCGTGTAAATATTGCTTCACCGACCGTGCATGCAGCGTGTTGTTTCACCTACTGATCAAATTCAAAGGTGTGTCTTAAATTACGCCCCAGAACATTCATCTTATTTCATTCAACTGATTACTCGATTCTTTTAGCAGCCAATTCAGATTATCTTTTGAGATTTTGGTTCATTACCTATTTTGTAAGGTTACGGTATAATTTTAAGGTTTTTTTGTTGTTGTTTTTTTTTTTTAATGACCCGAATGTGGAACAAAATGTCAAATTAATATGAATAGACAGAGACTCGCGGTGGCGTAGTAGTAAATTGCTCTGTTGAGGTTGACATGGAACTCAGTGTAGCATCTTCAACATGGAGGTAAGGAATGGACTTGTGTGTAATATTTGGTCCTTTGACCCCCTTCAACAGAAAAATAAAAATAAAAATAAAATAATCATACGCCATAATATTATGCCACTTCTTACGTCATAGTGGTGGAGACAGAGGATCAGTAGATGCGGTAATAAGGGAAGTCGTTAATTGCTTTAGTTTAAATTTTAAAAAATTAAATTTTTTTAAAAATACCATTTTGCCCTTCCCATTAAGAATTTATAGTTACGTCATTGATCATTTACTAAGATTTTGCCACGTGGATCTGAGGGGTTCATCCAATGTTGAATTAGATTGTTTGTAAAATTTTTAAAGAGGAAATTAATTATTAAATTAAAAGACGTGACAAATTTTATATGATGGTTCGAAAGTATTATAAAATTTTGGTGTACGATATTTTTTTTTTTTAAGAAAACACACTTAAAAAGTGGTCTAATTAAAGCCTGCCATCAAAGGAGTTCGGTCCATCTATCCCAGTACGTAGCTTCGAGCCTCAGCGGCTAGGGCTAGCTTGCCAACAGCTTCTACTTGTTTTTTTCCTACTTGCAAAGAGCTTATTAGAAAGTGTGTGACGCAGATAGAAGAATTTACAATTTTTTTTGGGTCTCAAAATAAAATTCATATTTTGAAATGGAGAGATTCAAAAATTTACTATCAAGGTCTTTTATCAAGACATAAACATGATTTGAAATCTTTCCAGTTACACCCTGAATCGTTGAATGCTAAATTGATAGATGGTAAAATTCATTATGAACAATGCCATGCTCGATCACTCTCATTGTCATTTGGGCTTTCTATATTGTCGAATATAGATAGTTGTCGAGTTTTATTTTTTAAACTCTTTTTTCACAAGGGCCAACCTACATGATACTGTACAAAGTGATTGTATTAGATTTTGGTTCCGGTTGGAAAATAACTTAAGTCACATTTCAGTCACTAGTTTTATTAAATAGGTTAGTTACGTATGCTCGGAACAATTTAGACGAAAGCATATAGATATCAGTCTTAATTCGTGGAAAATGAGCACACAACATTGACTCAATTCGTGGATATTTGACGGTCTACATGGATGCATTTACTTCTTGTTGTCCAATATTTAACTGAATTTTGAAGTCTTTCGTGGTTGGTTGGGTAGAAGATTATGTATATCTGAACGCAGTTAATAACAAAATGACTAAGGAACTCCAAATTCTAACCGTCACAATCCACAAATTTCACATGTTTTGACTCCAAAATTAACGCTAAAAATGTTAACAAAACAGTTTCATCACTAACTCCAATTTTGACGAACCCTCGGAGAACGCAGAGTCATTAATTAGTTTTGACATTCTAATTTTCTCAAGTGGGTTGCTAAACGCAACTTGATTTTACTTCGTCCAGCTTACAAAAAAGAGTTAAATACCCCTAAACCTTAAATCCTCCCATATTTCACTTTTTTATGCGGTTTCTCTTCTGCTTCTTCTTATTTTCCTTTTATCAAGTCTTTCAACTTTTTTAATGTACATTAAAAAATATCACGGATTGTTAATAGCTTGCAATAGTACAGAATTAAAGAGTATGAGAAATAGGCTATATTTATTTTTTTTGTACAATTTTTTTTAGAGGGATATATATTTTTTTAATTTGTGGGCCAATTTATGAATGGTTTTTGTTTATTGATAGACTACTATTTCTTGTTTCAATTTCTTCTAATAAAGTGTTGATTAGGAGAAGTAGCAAGTGTCCACATTATTTTGAGTTTTATTAGTTCCATAATGGGTGGTTATACTCCACTAAAATTGTAGTTAATCATGTTTTAAGCTAATTAGAAATTAACAATATTTAAGTACTCATTTAAAAGTAATTTTGTTTTATTTCAGTGTTAAAAGTAATGCTCTTTATTTAAGTACTCTTTATTTAAGTAATTTTGTTTTATTTAAGTACTCCTTATTATAGCATTTTTTACAAGTTGCGGGAAGGAAAAAGCAAGGAAAAGGGAAAATAAATAAAAAAGGAAAATGGGAAGATTTAGGGGTATTAAAATCTTTTTTATAAGCTGCACAAAGTAAAATTAAGCTGTATTTATCAACATCATTTTCTCAATTCAACTAGTAGTAGCACTAGAACTCAATGTGAAACATTCTCAAGTGTGTGTGTGTGTGTTTCCTTCCCATTTATTTCCTTATAACCACGATTGTAAATTAAAGACTGCCTTTGTTAAAAAGGATAATAATTGCGAGCACACATATAATGATATAAATGCAAATTGCAGGGGCACTCACTCATACATCTTTCAATGTTGAATTGTTGATGACTCAAAAGAATGCCATATATTCCCTTTAACTTGACATCACATCGGAATGGCAATTTAGACTAGGGTCACCACTCCAAGTCATTGTTTGTACACACAACACATTTGTGTAAAAACTTTAGCATCAGTTGCAATTTTTTGACGTGAATCAACACTCAAACAGCTTAACTTCCACTATTTACTCCCCCACTCTTTCCACCTCCATAAAACCACGAATTCCTTCAATTTTGGGTCACGAACCAAACCCAAGAGAGAAAAAGAAAAGAAAAAAACGAAAATGACAGTACTACTAGTTCGTGTAGTTTACACAGCTTTCATCTTCCTCCTCTTCTCAGCCACGACCGGCCGGGCCACCGTGGTTTTGCATGTTGACCAGGCCGGAAACGGAGATTACCGGAGGATCCAAGACGCGATCGACGCCGTCCCGGCGAATAACTCGAAGCACGTTTTAATTGTGATCAAGCCCGGAGTTTACCAAGAAAGGGTCGTGGTTCCATCAAACAAGCCTTTCGTAACGCTTAGTGGTACTAGTAAACGACATAAAACCATAATCACATGGAATGCTTTTGGAGACATATTTTCTTCTCCCACAGTTACCATTTTTGCATCTGATTTCATTGGCCGATACCTCACCATTCTGGTAAATACAATATTTTTTTTCCCAATCAAGTTCTTTTTTTTTTTAATTATTATTTATAATATTAATTTTGGTTGCAATTTTTTTGGTAAAAGAATACGCATGGAGCGGGTGCTAAAGCAGTTGCATTGAGGGTTTCGGGTGATAAGGCATCGTTTTACTGGTGCAGAATTCAGTCTCACCAGGATACATTGTTGGATGAAAAGGGAAGGCATTACTACAGAAACTGTTACATTGAAGGAGACACTGATTTCATTTGCGGAAATGCAGCTTCGGTCTTTAAGGTTGGTAATTAATTTAATTAACGCTAGTGATCACACATCAAAACTGAAACGAAACTAATTAACTAACGTTGATTAATTAATTTTGGCATTCTTCACAATTGCATTGAGTTATTGTACTATTATACAGAAATGCCATTTGCATTCACTTTCTCAAGGAAACGGGGCAGTAACTGCCCAACAGAGACAATCACCGGAGGAACAAACCGGGTTCATTTTTGTGGGTGGTAAAGTGAGTGGATCATCCAACAGTGCTGTGCTTGGGAGGCCGTGGGGTACTTATTCCCGGGTGGTTTTTGCATTCACTTACATGTCCAGCGTCATCAATCCCGAGGGTTGGGATGATTGGGGTAACTCTTCCCGGCAAACGTGCGTAATTTTTTTTTTTTTTTTTATCAGGATTGACATTCGAGTCGTGTTTTATTTTTTATTTTTCCAGACATTGTTAATCATAGGTTTCAATTCTCATATTCAATAGGAGTATGAATTAAAATTTTTTGACAAAATAAATTAGTGAACGAGGACTAATTAAGTATAGTCGTAAACATTACGTTATCATTTCGCGGTTTCTTTTCAATGTGTTACATAATGTGACGAAAAGAGAATTCACACACCACAGGACAGCATTCTACGGGGAGTACAAGTGCAAAGGAGCAGGGGCGAGCAGTTCAAACAGGGTGAATTGGTCCCACAGCCTAACATCAGATGAAGCTGAACCATATCTGAGTTGGGGTGCCATTGGTGGGCAAAGTTGGGTAAGATCTGCCATTGCACGCTTGAGAAAAATATCCTCAAAGATCTCCTAACATACATATATATGTTAGACTGACAATGTGAAGTAGAAGTAGTTCATAATGATCGGAAGTATGGGCTTTTCGTATTAAGCAATGATTGAGTCTGTTGTGAGGTAGGCATTTCGTCAAGACTTTGATGATGATATTACTATTTCTGTAGTTCTACTAGTAGTATAAAAGTCTGTTATGTAGAGTACTGTGAATTTGTGTTCATTTGACTAAACACAATATGTGCTCTTCCACCAGCTATATATCAACACCTTTGTTTTTACGTTTCTGTTATTCTTTAGTACTACCTCCGTCCTAAAAAAAATCCACATATATTTTTGGGACGGAGGGAGTAGAATTGTGTTTTTCTGTTTTTTTTTCTCATGTAGAAGCAGAATATGGATGGATTAATTAATCAAGAAAGTCCAACACCGTATACGTTATACTCCCACCGGTATTTATTATAAGGCATTTTGATTTCGTCCTATGTTTAATCTAAGATTAAAATATATTTTTACATTCGTTTTTCTCTAAATATTTTGAAATATTTTTAAGATTTTTATTCCAATTAAAAAGACATTTTTAATAAAATTTATGATGAAATCAAAATACCTTACAAAAAGGACAGAAGGAAATACATTTTAAAAATATAAAGATATTTAAATGAATTTTGTGCTTCTTTTTATCTTCCAAAGAGGGAATCTCCCATTAACAATGAGCCCATGATGGATAGATGTGTAGAATTAACTAAGATTTAGCATTCATGTAGATAGATAGAACCTTTAAAGTGAATTGATAGTCTATGACAGTGGGCAAGCAATTTGCATTGATGAGGTGTGACAATTATCTCAATTACAAAAATGGAACGTTGACCTTTGACTTATGGCCAAAGCGGTAGATGGAGTCGGTTAGAAAAACCGCGGACTTAGTACTAGTAGCTGCGTCATTGGCCCAAGCGCAAAGATGACGATGATTATTTAGGATTTACATTGGACGAACCTTTGGTGACTCAGTCCGGACATGGTTCCAGCGCTTTTGTGTATGCAAGTTGATAATACGTTACATTATCTTACGTCCTAAAATATTGCATTTTCTTTCAATCGGTGTAACAAAAAAAGACTGACCATATTTGTAGAAAGAAAAGCTACATTTTGAATAATTACGGGAATTACGAAATACTATTACTTCTGTTTTTGTTAAAAAAAATAGTTCACATTAAATGTGGCTAGTACACTCGATATCATTTTTGTAACTTTATTATTATTAGAGTGATAAATAACAAGTAAATAACTACTTTATCATACTGTTTATCATTGTGTTGAGTGTAGTAATATTATACAGCGTAAAAATTCTTAGACTGTATTATACACCCTTTGGTGTTAAAATGTGTTTAATGTGAATTTATGATGGTACTAAAAGTATTTTATTTTATTACATGTTTGGAATATAAACCGATATAGTTAAAAGCGAAATAAAAAGTATAATATTGAAAATTTATGACATTATACTCACAATATTATAAATTATTTATTGTAGATGCTCTTAGAAAAACTTCATCATCATTGAAGTGATTCATCCATATAATTGATTAATGACTAGGATTTATTTCACGGGACACTATATTTTACACGTGTTTAAAATCACTATTGTAACTAATTTGGATTTTAAGTGGGGTGATTATTGTGGATTGTGATATAAAGGATCGTTGTGGCTCCCTCCCTGATAATGGTAATGTGTCATTTCTTTTTTTTTAAAAAAAAAGCACCCATAAACTCCGGGACATAAATCTATGGGCTCACGGGAAATATCCAGGCGGTGAGAGACGACGGGATTTTGGCAGTCATTGTCCCAAACAACTATGACGATGTTTTTATATAATTTTCACCTGTTAAGGATAAGATCAAACTTAGGCCCCACCAAAATTTGGATGCAGACATATCCTAAATTATGATCAACTTCCATCATTCCTTATTACTGCTACTATAAAAATATAAGTAATTCCTTGGGTTGCGAATGACATAAATATCACCACTACGTGCAGAGTACTCATTGAAGCAGTTCTTCTTTATCACTTATCAAAGTTTGTTTCATTCTAAGAAAGAAGTGAGTTTGAAAGCAGTTGATCGGCTTGGAAATATTAAGGTTTTAGTTTAAACGAAGAAAAAACAGAGGCGCAGCAGGGTGATTTGAAGTTTACGATTATGGGATCTCTTATGGCTGGTTGGGACTCCCCTGTCCCTGATCCTAGACTTGGTAAGTCTAATCCAACTTTCTTCTTCGTTTTTTTTTATACTACTTGTACTATTTCAATGCTTTTTAGTCGTTTTTTTTTTTTTTCTTGCTTTTCCCCTTTCTGATCTGTGGTGGTTTCTTGATGTTTATTTTTTTGTAGAGAAATTGAGGAGGAATAGTTCATTAACAAGGGACGAAATCCAAGCCTTTTGGCGATCCAGAAAAGCTAAGGAAGAGGAACATCTCCGGGACATTTCTAGTTTATCCCCCCGCAGTCAGGTCTCCCTCTACTATATACCACCATCTTTTCTCCAAAGCGTATTTTCTTTTTTCACTGGCTCGTTAATTTCCTTAACTTTCACCAACACTGGGAGGTTCTTGCCAGTTTGCCTTTTTTATATATACTGTTTTTTTACTACTCCCTCCGTCCCATAATTATTGTCCAGTTTGGATTTTCATTTCTAGTTCAATTTGTGCTAAATATAAAATTTCAGACGGGACAATGATTGTGGGACCTAGGGAGTAGTAGATTTCTACAGTTGGAGAAGAAATCGAATCAAATGAAGGACCAGAGGTTGATCTTTGTCTTAACTAATTGACTGACATGTAGTTATTTTTGTAATAACAGGAACTTGTGTTCGAGGATGCTAGAAGAAGGAATCAAAGATCAAGTTCCTTGCCGTTACCAGACACGAACGACGATGATTTTGATATGAAATCTGACCAGCTTGGCATAGACAAACTGATCCAAAAGAACGGCTGGTGAGTTCTGTTTACCGGAGAAGATAGTAATTTCGGCTAGTTATACATAGCAAAACAGTAGAGTGGGAGTTTAAATTTTATTTTATTTTTTTTTTGGTGGGCTATGCAGGTGGATTAGCAGCAATTGGGCTTTTCTAAATGAGCCACCAGTGATTGGAAATGAAGGGCGGCAGTACAAGTATGCATCGCAATTCCATGTAGCAAACATGGGTCCTTCCTCACATACCCACAATGCCCAAACCGGAGTTGGTGCGTGAGGCCCATATAAAGTGGGCCCTGTCCTTGTTGTACATAGAGAGTTGGCGAGTTTATTAGTTGCTTGTGCGTTTTGATACTCCATCTCCAAAATAAACAAGAGAGGATTTTAATGCGGGGAGAAGATATGTAGGTTTATTGTTATGGTTTGTTAGGGTTTCTCCCCTTATGATGTTTTCGTTTGCGGTTGTGTGTACCTAGTGAAATTATGGCAATGTTGTACATATATTGCGGCTTTGTGTTGTGGGTAGCGAGTTGAATTACGAGAATGTTGTACATATACCTTGGCTTTGTAACTTACAATGGTTTTATTTTTGTGCACATTCGAATTATCTAAGTGAATAATTCCACAACAAACATAGATGTCACATTAACATGCGTGCTTGTTCAATATTTTAATGAGTAAGGTATTGCATTTGGTGATTCACCTACTTACGTCTATGAATTTCTCTAAAAACGGTAGCTCTCTATAGCCATCGAATTTTCAATCGTTCAAACCATTAAATTATGGAGGCTCAAATTATCTTCCAAGTCATTCCCTCTTGCCATATTGGTTGGTATGGATTGTCTCATGGTGAGGTCATCTCTAAACGGAATGAGGTCGCCATCACTCATTCGGAAATCGGGACACACTGACCCCAAATATTGTAAGCTCTAGGTAACCCTTGATAATAATAAAATTGATACTGACAATTTAAAGGACGAACATTATCAGAATTTTTTATTCCCAAATATAGTCACGTGGCAACTTGGGAATTTACTTAATGGTATATGAACCTTGAATTAGAAAGTGAGATAGGGAATCAAAAATAGAAATTATTACTACCTCCGTCCTAAAAAATAGTTCACATTGAGTTTTCAAATTTGTACTAAAAATAATACAAAACTCAAAATTCAATGTGGATTATTTTTGTGAGACGGAAGGAGTATTTCGTTACTAAAAAGGGATTATCGAAACTATCTTTAGAAAAGTTTTTAACTGGGTGCCAGGGCCAGCAGCATCATGATGCTAAACCTGGCATCGGAACCGTGTAGTCTACCATTCTTATGCTGAATGTGGTGCCGGCCGGCAGGCCAACTCGAGGCATTTGGGCTTTTGGCATTTCGAACTGGTTTTCATTGAGGTTGAAATGGTATTTGGTCATTCCAAAAAAGTGAGAGGAAATTACTTAATGGAACTTGATAGTCAAGGGGTTTGGTAAGAGTGAGACTTCTCATACTTTAGATTAATGTAGTTCGCCATCTGCAATTAGGTATGTTCACGAAGGAATGAATATGACCAGTATAAATGGTCCCATTCATTATAATTGGATTCTTTGCTTGGTCCACTTCTATAGTTACTTCAGAATCTAGACATTATAATGTGTGGAAACAATAACGTAGTGGATTTATTCTCGTGTCTCTATTTTTGTATATTTTTTAATGTACTTATTAAATAAGTGTTTAGGCACGGGCTCTTTTTCATTAGTTATTACAATTTACAATATAAACGGGCTCTTTGTCATTAGTTATTACAATTTACAATAATAATAAAAATAATGTGATGGATTCATTTTCCCATATATTTCCTATTTTGTATCTATGTGCTACACATTTGAATTATTCATGTTCAACTTTGAGGCCATAATTTATATTCAATTATCGATTTCTTAACTTTAATTTCTCATTTCCCTTCATTTTAAGATGGTTATTTTTCCTTAGATTGAAAATAGAACATAAAAATTTTACAATTATTTCAGCATGGGAAAATTATTATAGAAAGATAAAAATCTTACCATTATAAGGTCTGCAACCAACCAAAGAGTAACAGAGATAAAACAATCATCACACCGAGTTTGCTTAAAACGGAAGCTAATTTGTGAAATCGCATTCAGTGTAATGTTGACATCGATCCATGCATTCATCAGAATCAAGTTTTCTTCAAATGGAAGACCAAGGATTTTGAGCTAAATCGTGAAATTTGGTCGGGTTGTCTGCCATATGGTCCGATATCTACACATTGAAAAGGGCAGGGAAAAAGAACCGCCACCCCACTTCCCCCGGGGGTTTCATTAACCTATCAAAATTGCTAACACTGAAGTTTTTAAATGTGTATTTTTTATCAATCCTTTTGGGCTAAATAAATATTTTCATACTATATTATAATTGCAGAAACCTTAAAAGTCTGGTAGTCCTCATTTAATTTTTTGTTTGGTTTATTTTTTTATTTTTTACTTTTTTTGTAGTCTCTCATCTAATTTGGACAAAAGTATTTACATTTTCTCTAATTTATTCCATTATTATCTCACTTATTGGTCATTATCTTTTGATTTATACTAATAAAGTACTCTCTTATGTCTACTTTTTTGATAATAAATTGTCCTTTATCATCAAAAAATATATGGTGAACCTTTAATCTCCCTTGCATTAACTTTTATCTTTATGATTACAAAAGAAAATCATTATTCGGAAAATTTGATCAGTCTAAAATAGTTTCAGTTTTTGTAACCTTTAATTTTATTTTTAAGATTACCAAAAAATTATTTCTCATTATTAGTTGAATTTGATCAGTCTAAAAACGATTTTGGTGATTATAACCACTCTGAATTCCAAGATGTCTTTTCTTCTTCTCTTCTTTTCTTTGAATTTAATAGATTCCTAAATGATAGTTTAAATTGTTCTATAATTGAAAAAAAAATCAAAAGTCATGTAGTCTAAATTTACTTATATATAATTCTAAAGAGCATAGTTTTTGTCACTTCTCTTTTTTTTTTCTTTGTTTCTTTCAACTTTTGTACTTTCATCTCTCATTCTCAAGTCTATCAGAATTAATCATCCTTCATTATTCCTCTTTATGTTTATATTCTTGAATTTAGTTTTGTTTTCCTTTATTTTTTAATTGTTCCTTTTTTTCTTTTTTTTTGGGTGACACAGAAACTTGATTTTATTTTATTTTTCACTGTTCATGCAATCAGGACAAAATGCGTCACTACCGTTGAAACACAAGTGACGAGTTATAGTGACAACATTTTGTTGAGTATGTACTTTTTATTTCTGATAAATTTGTTAATGCTTTTTGTAGATAGTGTGTTAGACGGCAAAGTAACTTACTATTTTTTCTTTACATAATTATTGTTACGTCATTATCCATTGCGTACGAGTGGTCGCGTAAAAGTGGTCGCGTTGTCTGGCATACATATGATTCATTATTTATATCCTTACACCAAAAATTAATTCTTTTTTTAATATAAAAATATTTTTCAGTGTGGTTACAATAACGTTTGATAGACCATATGCACAAAAAAAGAAAAAAAGAAAAAATCAATCTCAAGTCGTAACTCGTTGAATGTACTAATGTTTTAATTTACTGTTACAACCGATTTATTTTTTCTTCCTTAAAATACGCATGCTGATCATCGCCGTCATCATCATCATAGTCTTTCACCCACCTTAAATCAGGAGAAAGAATACAGTCACGAGTTGGTCACTATCAAAAAATAAAATGAAATAAAATAATAATTCCTTTTACCCTATTAAAGCAGAAGACATGAAGCTTATGTGGCAACTAAGTATGTATCTGTTTTGGCTCCAATGCACCATATTTCAGATTTCAGGAGTCTTTTTGGTACGTGTAAGTCTCTTTTAATTAGAAGTTATACAATTTTTTTTTTTTAAAAAAACACATGTTTTACTACAAATAAGGATCAGTTACATTTCAACGAATGAATATATTAATTCAAATTCAAATGTCCAATCGTATAGTTTTGCAGGCTTAATATAAACAAAAAATAAAAATACCTAAATCCAGCAATTAAGAATAATGCCTTATAAACTAATTATTTATTATTCCCTTACAATCTCAGATTTATAGGTATATTTTTTTAAGCCCCAAATCATAGCATAAATGATATATACGCCAAATTAATTCCTAAAAAAATAGTAATTCAATTAGATTTTAATAAAATAGTAATTTAGAAGGGGCGCCCGGGCATCTGCCTGAGCCAAACATCTAGTTTACTATAAGTCTATAAGAGAGAGCTCATGAGCTATTTTCGGGATATACTTAAATGACAAATAAGTGTAGTACTCCCTCTGTCCCATAATTATTATCCAGTTTGAGATTTCATTTTTAGTATGATTTGAATTAGAAATAAAAATCCAAACTGAACAATAATTATGGGACGGAAGGAGTAATTAATTTCGTCACGATGGAGTAATGCATTCTGAATGGTGGAGTACTTTTCATCTACAAAAAGAAGAGTCCTTGTCCAGATTAACTAATGAGACGTGATGAATAAAGACAAGATTATTCCTTTGCGAACCAAAACAAAACCATGTCGAATGAATCCAACCTCAATTGTAGGCGATATACTAATAAGAAGATTCTCGCAGGGGCCGAAACTGCAATTTACACAAAATCATTAACGTAACAGAGTCACCAACTAATAAGGTGTATGTATTCCTGAATTTCGAAGCGAGTACTTTTTCATAATTGCAATTCGGTCCACGTCCCAATAGATGCGTGACCGCACTATTTCTTCTTCTATAAAAGGTCCCGTCCAACCTTCTCTGTTCCATCACTTCTAAAGTTACACATTGGTTTTGAGTTACTTTACTATCAACCCTTTTTTTTTAAGACATTCAGAAGATCCCAGAAAAAAAGAATGGCTCAGAAAAGCAAGATTTTGATCATCGGTGGAACAGGGTACATTGGCAAGTTCGTTGTCGAGGCAAGCTTGAAAGAAGGCCATCCGACCTTTGTTTTGGTTAGGGAAAGCACCGTTTCTGATGCTGTTAAGGGAAAACTGGTCGAAACTTTCAAGACTTCCGGCGCTACATTGGTTTATGTCAGTAATTTTACTTCTCTGTTTCTCTGCAGGAACTCAGTTCTATTGATTTTGCAATTGATTGTAATTTTTTATTTTGGGTTTTCTCTGTTTGGTGCAGGGTGATTTGTACGATCATGGTAGCTTGGTGAAAGCCATAAAAGAGGTTGATGTGGTTATATCAACTGTTGGCCACCAACAATTGAATGATCAGACCAAGATCCTTGATGCAATCAAAGAAGCCGGAAATGTTAAGGTATAAATTTGTTCATCTTCCTGCTAATTTTCTACTTAATTACCATATCAATTCACATATGAATTGGGTTCACTTCAAATTCCAATTGGGCTAATAATCTTTGGGTCAATAGTCAGTACTTTAATCTGTTCATCGGTTAATAAGCATTCATAAGTCCTCAAACATGTTTCTTGAATTTTTTTTTTTTACCAGAAATTCTACCCATCAGAATTTGGGATTGATGTGGATCGCCACCATGCAGTTGAGCCAGCCAAATCCACATTTGGTGGAAAGTCTCAATTGCGCAGAGGGATTGAAGCAGCAGGAATTCCGCACACATATCTTGTATCCAATGCTTTTGCAGGTTATTTTCTCCCAACTCTGGTCCAACCAGGCGCCACTGCTCCACCCCGCGATAAAGTTGTGATCTTGGGAGATGGAAATGCCAAAGCTGTTTTCAATGAAGAACATGATATTGGTACATTTACCATCAAATCTGTGGATGACCCGAGGACACTGAATAAGATTGTGTACATCAGGCCTCCCAAAAACGCTGTGTCATTCAATGAGATTGTGGCAATCTGGGAGAAGAAGATTGGCAAAACTCTGGAGAAAGAATATGTTCCTGAGGAACAACTTCTGAAACAAATTCAAGGTTCTCAATACTGAGCAAGATTAACAAATTACATTGTGTTAATTTTCTTTTTTTCTTCTTCAAACTTTTTTCCTGATTAATAATGTATTTGTTGTTTATGCAGAGTCACCAATTCCGGTGAACGTGATATTATCAATCAACCATGCAATTCTGGTGAAGGGTGACACGACCAACTTTGAAATCGAGCCATCTTTTGGTGTGGAGGCTTCTGAGCTTTATCCTGAGGTCAAGTACACCACCGTGCAGGAGTACATTGAGAAACTTGCTTGAATTTCCTAAGTCTTGATAGGTGTTTTTTTTCTTTTTTTTCCTCCTCCTCTACAGAAGAAACGTTGAGCCTAATGTTTTCATAGGTGTTTGCCTCCTCTTTGTAACAAATAAATAAATAAATATATAAAAACATGTTCCTGTTTGATAATTTTGCCATTTTGAGATTACTATTAATATGTGTAATTTGTTCTGTTTGGGGTATTTATAAAAGTTGAAATTCAAGTACCTAAGCCAAAATGTACCCATGTTGTTAATTAATCCAAAGATTGAGAGAACAATTCTGAATAGAAATCACCTGTAAACATTAAGGAAAATTACACTTTTCACTCTATAGATTCTTTTGTACTTCTCATCAAGCTAGCAGGGATTAAGGCCCCCAAGAACCACCTTCTCTGGTTTCACCAAAGGGCCAAACGAGAGAAAAAAAAAAAAAAAAAAGGCTTCTCTCCATAATAGATCCGCCTCTTTAAGTTTCCTGGCATTTTTTTGAAAATATACAAATTCGTAGGACTTCAAGTTATAACGAAAATCTTAAACTCCTAAATAGATTATGATAATAATCATTCAATAAAGCAAAGTACTTTGATTTGTTCCCTTTTCTATGAATAAACTAAATACAAAATTAACTACTTGTTATGTAAAGTTAAGGCTTTAATTAATTAAAACAATAAAAGGGTATAATAGTTGTTTTGGATAAATACCCGAAAATTGAGAATATGTGTGAGGTAGAATACTCCATGACTTTTTCTTCCTTTTGTTTCAACAAACACAACCTTAATTTTAGGAAAAAAAAAAAAAAGAATTGAAGAAACCTTTCCTCGAAACTCATGGTCCATGAATAGGTTTAATATTTGAATGAAATACGAACCCGTTTTATAGTGTATGTGCAGATTACAAATACGATTATGGCCTGACTTGCGTGGATATTGACGATCAAATTCACCAGACATGCATAACACCGGTAAATACAAGGTTACAATTATTACCTTTACCTTTAACAATTACTACTTACATTGAATATTGATGATCAAACTCACCAGAAATCGTCATAACGTTAAAAACTAGATAACTACGGTAAATGCTATAAATAAATAAATTAAAAACCCCGAAATTCACATGGAAACAATAAAATTTCAATACATGTGTGAAGAAATTTTTATGAGCACTCAAATTTTCTGCCCACTAGAATATGATCTTTATAGTTGAACACTCAAATTTTACCCCTTATTTTACTTCATTCACTTCTAATCACTCAAATTTTCAGCCCACTAGAATATGATCTTTCTTGTTGAACACAGAGCTTTGTTTGTTTTCTTTTTTAGTTGGTTTTTTCAGAATTAAATAATAATAATTGTCTCATCCCAGCATACTTTTTTACATTTTTAATACATATTTTTACATTCTCAATACAAAAAACATCTAAAAATAAGCACTAAAAAAACCAAACAAACATAAGCTCAAATTTTACCCCTTATTTTACTTCACTCCTCTTCCTAGACTAATTACAGAGCATACAAAACTCACTCACAAGCTTGCTCCGAAGAGCTATATTGTTTTGCTCTTCGCTCTGCGCTTCCAAATATTGAAGCTCAAGGCCTCACCGATTTTCATTTAATATGTGAACACTAGTAGTATTTTGCGAGATAAACGTGCGCAAAAGATCTTTTCATCTGACACTGCGAGTGGTTTCGCCAAAATCCCATCCAATTTAGAAACTCCCACGTCCCACCGTCCAAATTAGGTGCAAAAAATGCACCAAAGATAAAGGTAGTTGGACATTCATGGGGGGCTGACGGTCCCCTCTCGTACTGCTCCAACATTCTCTGTTCCCCACGTTTAAATCATATATTGAAGTGGTTAACTTCGCTCTTTATCAGCCCCTTTTGAGGCATTCGGACGATCCCCTGAAAAAAAATGACCCGGAAAAGCAAGATTCTGATAATTGGTGGAACAGGGTACCTTGGCAAGTTCGTAGTGGAGGCGAGCTTGAAAGAAGGCCATCCGACCTGTGTTGTGGTGAGGGAAAGCACCTTTTTCTGATCCTGTTAAGTGTTAAGGCAAAACTTGTCGAAACTTTCAAGACTTCCGGGGCCACTTCGGTTTATGTCAGTAATTAATTTTACTTCTCTGCCTCTCTGCTGGAACAACCCTTCTTTTCAATTTTTGTTTTCTTTTTTCCTTTTTGGAACTGTATTGTTTTTTAGTATTGAAAGTTGTTTTTGATTTTGGGTTTTCTCTGTTGGTTGCAGGGTGACTTGTAGGATCATGGTAGCTTGGTGAAAGCCATAAAAGAGGTTGATGTGGTGATATCAACTGTTGGCCACCAACAGTTGAATGAGCAGACCAAGATCCCTTGATGCCATCAAAGAAGCAGGAAAATGTTAAAAGGTTTCAATTTGTTCACCTTCCTGCTAATTTTTACTCCTCTAAATCGATTCACATATGAATTTGGTTGTAGTGCTACATTTTGACGGGAATGGCCACCCCAAATATCAATTGGTCAAATAGATTTTGGGACACTAATTTATCAGTTTCACCAGTTAAACATTCACAAGTACTCAAAAACATGTTTCTTAGATTCTTTCTACCAGAAATTCAGAATTTGGGATGGATGAGGACCGCCACCATGCAGTTGAGCCAATTAAGTCCACATTGATTGGAAACGCACAATTACGCCGAGCATACAATTGAAGCCACAGGAAAAACACCCTATACGTATATGTATATTGTATCTAATGCTTTTTCAGGTTATTTTCTCCAAACTCTGATCAAACACTGCTCCTCCCCGCGATAAAGTCGTGATCTTGGGAGATGGAAATGTCAAAGCGGTTCTATCATTCAATGAGATTGTGGGTATCTGGGAGAAAAAAAATTGGCAAAACTCTGGAGAAAGAATATGTTCCTGAGGAACAACTTCTTAAACAAATTCAAGGTTCTCAAATACTGAGCAAGATTAACAAATTATTGGAAAATCATTTAACTTTTAGTACAATTTGTACTAAATGTAAAAATGAAAATTAGAAAATTATTTCAGGACTATAGGAGTATGTATAAACTGGTTACAGTTTGATGATTTTGAATTTTTGTGCTTATTATTATTATTATATAATGTTAATTAAATATTGGTATAGTTCAAATATATGAGAGATGCTGGCGGAGCTTTGTGTCCTATTTCAAATGGATATATATATATATATATATATATATATATATTGATATATTTAGGGAAACTTATACAAGTTGAAATTAAAGTACCACACCATAAGATCATCTAAAACCAATTTTGTTGTTTCGTCTTGGTTTGCTGCTGCTGCTGCTGCTGCTTTTGTGTGTGTGTGTGTGTGTGTGCGTTTTTTTTTTTTTCTTTCTTTTTTGAGGGAAAAGAAACTTTCATTACTTACAGGAGAAGGTCCAGAGGGAAGTGAGATTGAGAGACCTAGTTTATTACTAGAGCAAGTAAATTGCAATTAAAATATTTTATTGAAGGTCATAACTTCTTTTTTTTTTCTTTTTTTTTTTTTTGGTTATTACAATCACCGACCGACAAATAGGAAAGACACAGAAATGAAAAATGTGACAATCCAATTATAGGATTCACTCTATACCGTTATGCATGATTTTCATTTCTTTTTACTATTTTTTTTTCCTTTCATTATTCTCCTTGATTCATTTATCGCACCTTTATTTCTTACATCATCACCCATCAGAATTTTAATATATATCTTTTAGAGTTCATCAATGAGTTTTTTAATTGTTTAAAATTTAGACAATATTTAAATAAACACATATTAAAATATGATACGATACTTGATTGATCACTTTCCTACAGAAAACTAACTTATAGTGTCAGGGTTATAAGGCCTTGAATAATGAAAAGGTCTATAATATAGTTTTGACTCTTGAGTATAGGTAAATGTGGAATATTGAACATTTTGAATTCAAAATAATCTAACAATCAATACCCTAATTTTAGAAACGAAAGGGAAGAAAAAAATTTCTCTTCAATACAGGGTCGATGGATTGATTTCATATATTGTAATGCATTACATGTCACTATACTTTATGCCAGCTGATGATATGTACTGAAGCAACCATTCTTCGAATGTTGTAGGTTTTGTGTCTATAATTAACTGTGTAATGATCATTCATCATCAAAGACGGTAGCTCCTTCATATACTATAAGGCAAACCGAGAAAAAAGGGAACAAAAAGAAAATCAACAGACGGTACGGTATTTGTCGTGTAGTATTTTTAAAAATAATCTGATTGAAAGTTATAATTAACTAATAACTCCAGAAATAGTTAAAGATTATGAAGAGCTGACCTTTTGTAAAAATTAAATCTAACTTTTTTTTATATATAAAAAATTAGCCTCGCCCACTTGTTTTAATTTGGTAATCCAAATTTCAGATTTCTAACTTTATTGACAATATTAACGAGAGAATAAATACATCCACCTACTGCCATCCCGGATCACCACCCGCCGACGGCGAACCACCACCAACCAACCAAATTTTGACGAGTTAACCTAAATTCGGTCGGACGGTTGCTAATTGACAACTGAATTCTTAAGGGACTTAAGAGGTACCAAGGCCCTCCGGCTGGCTTGAGAGTCCCTTGGAGGTATTCATAGTTAACCTCCCACTATTTATGTCATGTCATATATCTCGATCATTCATAAGCAATCAATCCCTCCAAATTCAAGCAACTGATTTCATCACTGTCGATCGATGGTGGTGCGACCGACGGCCGCAGCAGATGATAGTTACGCGGTGATGGTGGGGTGATATGACTGTGATAAATTAATTAATTTTGTACTCAAAAAACGTAATTATTCATATAAAATTTTAAAGTTGCATTTAAAATACCTTTTAAATTACTCCCTCCGTCCCAAAAAAATAGTCCTAATTTCAGATATCATCATCCATAGACAAAATTAACCAGAAAACAATTAAAATCCTAGCTATTAGCTGCACTATATAATAATTATATAATAGTATAACAAATTGATCAGCGGTCCCACGTATTCTTCACCAATAACCTAGCTAGCGACTTGTTTCGAAAAAAAACCTAGCTAGCGACGTACTTATAAATTAATGAATCGTTCAGCACGCATAGAGAAATGGATTCACATAGAAATGGTAAAGGAAGCCAAAAGTTAAGTCGAATTTTCAGTATAATTTGTAAAAGAAGCCAAAAAGTCACAATCATTGCCGAACGAAAAATAGTTTAACATTTTATGGGTATCTCTTGATCAGTTGTTCGCGACGTGCTTATAAATTAATGAATGGTTCAGCATGAATTTATAAGCCCGCAGAGAGAAACGGATTTACAGAGAAATGGTGATGCTAATAATGAGCTACTTTCAGCTCAAGCTCACATATGGAATTCAACCTTCAGCTTCATCAACTCAATTTCACTAAAATGTGCGGTTCAATTAGGAATTCCAGACATTATTCATCAACATGTCAATCAATATCATCAACCCATGACCCTTCATCACTTAGTCAATGCCCTCCCCATAAACCCTGCAAAATCCCAATTCATCCATCGCCTAATGCGGATTCTGACCCATTCGGGTTTCTTTCAAAAGGAGAAGATAGGAGAAGAAGAAGGCTATTCTCTTACTCCGTCATCTAAACTCCTGTTGAAAGACAACCCTTTATGTCAGACGCCATTTTTGATGTTAAACCTTGATCCAGTCTCAATGAATCCATGGCATCACTTAAGCCAATGGTTTCAAGAGAATAGCAACGTCGATGGTAGCACGGCCTTCGTCACGTGTCACGGAAAAAGTCCGTGGGAGCTCTCAGGGAATGAACCGCGGTTGAACCAGCTTTTCAACGAGGCAATGATATGCGATTCTCGGCTGGTTTCCAAATTGGTGATCGAAAACTGTGGAGATGTTTTCTTAGGGTTGAATTCGATGGTGGATGTTGCTGGCGGATCTGGAACTATGGCTAAGGCCATGATTGATGCTTTTCCTGGCTTGAAGATTATTATTGTCTTGGATCTTCCTTATGTGGTTGATGGCTTGAAAAGTTGTGACAATTTGACCTTCGTTGGAGGGAATATGTTCCAAGCCATTCCTCCTGCTGATGCAATTTTTTTAAAGGTAAACTATGTTGTTTTTTATTCTCTTGAGTTTATTATGGGGAGTAGTTTGGAGGGTCATAAATTAAAAAGTACTCCTCCGATCGTCTAAGATTATTGTCCAGTTTGTATTTTCAGTTTTAGTATAATTTGAACTAAAAAAAAAAATTCGACTTGGACAATAATTTTGGGACGGAAGTAGTATGTTAAAGATGGAGTTTTAGAATTTAAAATTCACATTTGTATGAATTATCAAATGGAGTGAAAAATTGTTGAAAGAATTAAAAAAAAAATGAGGCCAAGTTCAAGGACCACTTCTAACAATTACGTACCCGAACTGAGCATTCAGTAAGGAACAAGAATAGTTAAATTCATGATAATTGTGTAAGCACAAGTTCTTTAGTAGAAGAAGAGTTGAATGAGGCAATAGACAAAGGAAAAGTAACTACAAGCTCGGGTCAAACGTTGACCCAGAAATGGTAACCACATAGATTAGTGCTTTTTATTCAGTGCGTCATACATTAATCTTATTGGCAAATTAATTAATAGAAATTGAACGATGCAGTGGATATTGCATAATTGGGGTGACAAAGAATGCGTGCAATTACTTGAGAAATGCAAAGAGGCAATCCCAAACAAAGACAATGGAGGCAAGGTGATAATCATTGATATGGTGGTGATGAAAGACCATCAACAAGAAAGAAACAATGGGACTAATATTATTGATCATGAGGCAAAAGAAACTCAACTTTTCTTTGATATGGAGATGATGGTTCTAGTCGCTGGAATTGAAAGAAATGAGGAAGAATGGGCAAAGCTCTTCTCTGAAGCTGGCTTCAATCACTACAAAATCACTCCTCTGCTCGGCTTGAGATCCCTCATCGAGCTTTATTATTACTAGCCAGCTATTGATGAATTCTGGCTTCTTCTTCTTCTTTTTTTTTAAGCAATTCCATTGCAGTAAATGAAAAAAAAAATAAAAATAAAAATAAAAATCCCACCGTACTCTGATTTGATTGTTATAACTCTCAGTCTTACCATCAGGGTATTATGTCTGATCAATTGTGTTGTTTCCCCTGATGTGTTTCACCTTTTAAAAAAAAATCGTACTTTGTTCGTGTGATATATTATGAGTTTGAAATAGTCGTCAAGTCTTACTATTGTAAGAGCTCTCGTAAGAACTCAAAAATTACAATTAACTAGGTTAGCGAGAACCATTTGCATTTCCGTTTAAAAGTAACACATAAGAAGCAGCTCTAGTCAGAGCTAGATATGCTTCAATTACTTTTACCACTTGTACAATTTGTTGCATTCCTTTTTTTTCTTTAAAAAAAATGATTTTGATGGTTTTTGTAGTTTTAATGAGTTTAGACAAACATATCTTCCTTATTTCCCAATCATAAAGTGCTTGTTTAGACGTCATCTTACGTTTCATTTTGTCACTTAAAAGTGGAAAGTGTTTCAAGTTGAAAACTAAATGGGAAATGAAAATGTTGTTTGGATGGTATTTTGAGCAAAAAGTTGTTTGGATGTTAGTTTTGAAAAAAATATTTTGAACTACATTTTAAAATATCAAGTACGAATTATCACTAAATAATTAAATACTGTCAATTATAGTCACTTTAAAAAGAACTTTTCCAAAAACAATCACTAAACAATGGAAACCTGGCAAATTTGTCACTCTAAGATTTTCCTTTGTTAGATTTCGTCATCCAAACAAAAAGTGTTTCAAGTTGAAATTTAAAATATAAATCAGAAAGTTGTTTGGATGATGTTTTCTTTCCCATTAGATTTTGTGTTTAAGAGATAAAATGAGTTAAAATGTAAAATGAGTTGACAAACAAACAAAGCCAAAGTTTTTCTTTCGCAAGATATAAATCAAAGCTCATTATAATTCTATCAACTCATTTCGATCATTCTAGAATTAGTTAGTGGTCAAATTTTGGAGCGATGATGCTGAAATACTGATAAATGGTATTTATTCTTTATCTAAACACAACTCTTGACCGTTCCCTTTTCTTACCCTCATATTTCCAACTTTAAAGTATACTTTATATTTTTCTTCACCTTAAGAAATTTGACGATAAGAATTGTTTACTGAATAACTGTCATTTTCCTTCTAGAAGCCTTTAGGCATCCTGTTCTTCACTACGAATATAGATAATATAAATAATCAGCTTTGTCACTTCTGAATTGATTAAATTGATTTTCAACGGTCAAAACCTTAATTACATATGAGATATTTGCCAAATTAGTCCGCCACATTTTAGGAAGATAAAATCTTAGTCATTTTTTAAAAAGAAACTGCTTTAAGCTTCACGTATACACATAAGGTGACAATATGGGTTTTTTAGTCCCTCGCTTATTAATCCATTCATAACAAAGATAAATTACACATTTCATTATAATTTTAGCAAGGCACCCAATTTATAATTCTATTTTTCATAATCTAAACTCTAAAAACTATATGAAGTAAACATACAAGCCATAGTAATATGTGACACAAAGGTAGGGAGAGAGGAGATGGTGTGATACTGTGATGTATTAATTCAATTTCTCAACGCATAATTTGATTCATTTCAAATGAGGAAAAACAAGGTACTGCTGTTATAAACATAAGGGACTAAACGATTCATTTACTGAAAAGCAGAGGACCGTCGAAAATGACAAACATGGAATTTTGTGTTCATAGTCATCGTCACGATGAAGACCGAGATAGTCAAACCCTGAAACAGTATAAAAATAGATCCGCTGACCCATGGCCTCGACTCTATTAATTCTTTCTCGTACTCCATTACTTTCTCACTCAATTTTGTAAGCTTTCTTTATTCGGATTAAACCCTTTGAATATCTAGAGAAAGTAATAAAAAAAAAAATGGCTCAGAAGAGCAAGATTCTGATCATCGGAGGAACAGGGTACATTGGCAAGCACATAGTCGAGGCAAGCTTGAAAGAAGGTCATCCCACCGTCGTTTTGGTGAGGGAAACCACCGTTTCTGATCCTGTAAAGGGAAAACTCGTTGAGAGCTTCAAGAATTCTGGGGCCACTTTGGTTTATGTGAGTGAATTAATTTCAGCACTTCTCTGTTTTTTTCTCTCTGGGTCTGTTTTAATTTTATAGTTATTTGATTTTGTGTATTTAATTGTTTTTGAACAGGGTGATTTGAAAGATTACGATAGTCTAGTGAAAGCCGTTAAACTGGTGGATGTTGTAATATCAAATGTAAGCCACCAACAAATTCCGGATCAAATCAAGCTCATTGATGCCATCAAAGAAGCTGGAAACATTAAGGTTTTTGCATACCTTCATTTCGTCCAATATTTACATTCTGTCAGCTTTAGTTGAAAATTCATGGTTCCATTTATTGCAGATATTGAGCAAGTAGTTCATTTATAGAACAAGTCAATAATCTGAGATTAGACGTGGGAAAGAGGGATAAAACAGTTTTCTTCTATGCAAATTCACTGGAAGATGAATTGTTTTTGTGGATAATGATTATTAATCTGTTTAAGGATTAACAGCTAAAACATGGTTTTATTGGTCCAAACAGAAATTCTATCCTTCAGAATTTGGAATTGATGTGGATCGCCATGCTGCTGTTGATCCTGCAAAGCATATCTTTGTTGCAAAGATACAAATTCGCAGGGCGATTGAGGCAGCCGGGATCCCTTACACCTACATTGTACCCAATGGTTTTGCGGGCTATTTCGTCCCAACCCTGTCGCAGCCGGGAGCCACTTCCCCATCCCACGATAAAGTTGTCATCTACGGAGATGGAAATACCAAAGGTATTATATAAATGCCCCTAGTTTTCAGTGTTTCCCAATCGAAATGGTGTTTGATTTCTGTGTGTTTTGTTTCTTTTTTCTGCAGCTGTTTACAATTTCGAACAAGATGTTGGTGCATATACCATTAAAACTGTGGATGATCCGAGGACATTGAACAAGATTGTGTATATCAGGCCTCCCAAGAACACGGTAACATTCAATGAGCTTGTGGGAATCTGGGAGAAAAAAATTGGTAAAACTTTAGAGAAAGAATATCAACCGGAAGAACAACTTCTGAAAAAAATTAAAGGTCAGTTAAGTCAGTAAGATAATAATACACTGGGTACTCAATCATCAATCATTTTGCATGTAAATCATTTTTCTAATGCACATGTTGTTCATTTTCCAGAGGCTCCAGTTCCACTCAATATCACATTATCAATCATCCATTGTATTGTGGTGAAGGGCGGCGCAACCGACATCGCCATTGAGCCATCTTTCGGCGTGGAGGCTTCTGAACTTTATCCTGATGTCAAGTACACCACCGTGGAGGAGTTCTTTGAGAAACTTGCTTGAATTGTTCAGTCCTTTGAGAAACTGTGGAAGAGTTTTTCGTACACAGGAGTGGAGGAAATTATTTCCTTTTGTTAGGGGAGTGGACAACTTTGTATACTGAAATGAAACTAATATGATCTAGCTTGATATTGATTCCCTTCTCTGGTGATTATCAATGTATTTTTAGAGTTCCAAATATATACGAGGCGCCGTTGCAGCCTTTTGTGTTCTGTTTATAAATGTAGTTCAGTCAGCTGAGATTTGGTAATCCTCGAAGTTATGATCGGCAAATTAATTTGATTGTATCTTAGTAGGAGCTGAAAGTTAATCTCCTAGCTCCAACTTTTTCAGAAATGATGCCGAAAGAGAGGAAAGAATGACGCTTGCTTCAAATTTTATTAAGCGTACAAGTGTCAAAGTCACCTTGGGCTCTCATCTCAAAACTAATTGGCAATGAGTGGGGTGACCTTTGACACTTATAAACAGGTGACAGATCCTTCACGACACCGATGTGGGATTCTTTTGTCCCAACACCCTCCCTCAAGCCCAATGGGGTATTTGGCCCATTGGAGTTGCACAACACAACATAATTCACCAGCAGGTGACAGATCCTTCACGAGACCGATGTGGGATTCTTTTGTCCCAACACCCTCCCTCAAACCCGATAGGGTATATGACCCATTGGGATTGCACAACACAACATAATTCACCAGATATACTGCTGGGTCAGTCAACAAGCCCGTACACACATGTACATACTCCGAATATACTGTCGGATCAGTAACAAGCCCACCCGTGTGCACGGAAGCGATTGACGCAAGTCCAAGGCACACGGATCCAAGCCCGCACACGCGGGTTCATAGTTATCACAGGTCCACAGATCGTGGGCTCTGATACCATGTCAAAGTATATAAGTACTTTGGGCTCCCATCTCAAAACCAATTGACAATGAGTGGGGTGGCCTTTGGCACTTATAAACAGGTGACAGATCCTTCACGACACCGATGTGGGATTCTTTTGTCCCAACATAAAGGTCACAGTATATATACAGCCAAAAGCCATAAGATTAATGTGCTGAGTTGAAATGATAATCATGTAACAAGACTGGAATAACATGAACGGAGCGTCGACTTTAACGTCGTGAGAAATACACCGACGAAAATGTCGACGAAGCAGAAATATAGCAAACCTTGCTAATATATAATACTATATGGCATCCCATGTATTCCTCCTATTCAACCACTTATTTACAGATAATACAGTTGGCATCCCTTTGTGACGAGTAATTTTATTAACTCTAGTTATTTGGTGTCACAAGCAAAGCTTAATTGCAGTCCCTATCCTCTTAAGTTACTTTCTGATGAGAAGAGAGCTGTGAATTTTTTTAAGGAGAAGTTATCCCGTAAACAGGTGACAGATCTTTCACGATACCGATGTGGGATTCTTTTGTCCCAATACCCTCCTTCAAGCCCAATGGGGTATTTAGCCCATTGGGGTTGCACAACATAACATAATTCACCAGATAGACTGCTGGATCAGTCAACAAGCCCGTACACACGGGTACATACTCCAAATATACTGTCGGATCAGTAACAAGCCCATTCATGTGCACAGAAGCGATTGACGTAAGTCCAAGGCACACGGATCCAAACCCGCACACGTGGGTCCATAGTTATCACAGGTCCACAGATCGTGGGCTCTGATACCATGTCAAAGTCACCTTGGGCTCTCATCTCAAACCCAATTAGCAATGAGTGGGGTGACCTTTGGCACTTATAAACAGGTGACAGATCCTTCACGACACCGATGTGGCATTCTTTTGTCCCAACACATCCCCTTGGTAGTTTCTGAAAGTCTCTCTGTTTTTTTCTGGGTCTGTTTTGATTTTTTTTTTTTCTTTCCTGTTGCGTAAGTGATTGACTTGGAATCCTTGGTTTGGAACAGGGAGAATTGAAGGATTATGCTAGCTTAGTGAAACCCGTATAACAAGTAGATGTCGTTATATCAAATGTAAGCCACCAACAAATTCCGGATCAAACCAAGCTCATTGATGCCATCAAAGAAGCTGGAAACATTAAGGTATTTGCATACCTTCATTTCGTCCAATATTTACATTCTGTCAGCTTTAGCTGAAAAATCAAGGTTCCATTTTAAACAGATTTAGTTCAATCATAGCAGATATTGTGCAAGTAGTTCATTTATAGAACAAGTCAATAATCTGGAACGGGACGCCCCTCCCTTTTTATCCTGAATACATAACACAAGTTGATCTCATATTTCTCTGTTTTTTCAATTTGAAGCAGAAGGCCAAGTGGAATTCATCAATTGCAAGCTGTGTTTGCTTCATTTTCAAGTCGTATCATGGTGGCTCATGATTCCCTTTAGTGATGCTTTTGATTTGAAGTTTTGGCCCAACTCCTTTGTACAATAATTGTGGTTTGGGTTTGAATTGTTAATATTAAATGAACACAACACAATGATGGTTATCAGCAGCTCCCATTCTTCGGCTGCTAAATGGTCATTCTTGATTGGGAGAGTTAAAGGGGAGGATTCCTAATGTAACTTACTTTCAAGACTAGAAATAATAGTGTATGTTGGCCTCCTCTTATACATCGTACAAAATTCAGATCTCAGCAAAGTACTGAATACAGAATATGCTTGTTCGAAGACGAAAATACCAGAAAAAGAAACTTCAGGTGAAACAGGAAAAGAAATCACATGGGGGACAAAACTGGAACTGAATCTCTAGAAACATAATGTCGTGTATAACTCATTATTGATTTTAATTTGAAACGTTAAAAACCTATGCGTTTCTACAGATCAAGGTATTAACAAAGATGGAAAACATTATATATATTTACAATACATGTGAATATTCTTTTGTATTTACGGAATTTGAAGAGTTCTTCGAACCTAACAATGACAGCGCCACTGTCAGCGTTGGTGCGGGTGCCGGTGCGGGTTCTGATTCTGATTCTGATTCTTTTGCCGATGATGCATTTGGCGCCAATTTTGAAACCAGTGCTCGTCTAGGCAACATCTCCAGTACTCTACCTGTGTATATTTCTTCCTGATCTTTCCCTGGAAGAATTAGAAACCGAGCAATTAGTTTAAGAAACACAACTCTTATTATCAGACCGAATATGTCAAATCACATTTCAAATATGTAAAAAGACATATGCTGAATCACTTACCATTGGGGTTGAAATCAATCTGATATTTAGCTGAAGCGGACCAGCGAACGAGGATCGGGGTGATGATGGTGAGTACTGCCCAGAAAAACAATACCACCACAAGAGTTCTCTGACTCATTTGTGGTACAGAAACAACTTCTTCTTCAAGAGATGCATTGTGGTCAAGAATGGTAGTTTTTGATGGTTTTTATTTTAGGCAGTTGAGGAAAATTGTGAGATGGTAGGAGTGGACTTTTTTTTTTGGAGCACTTAGTTGGCCATATGTTTAAGAAAAAAAGGAGTCACATACACTTTGATAATTACATTAATCATTTGTGAAAATGATGTCAGCTTCAAGAAGTCAGATAGTACTACTTGGGATGATGATGATGATGATGATGAGGTTTTGGTTGTGCTTTTCTGGTGTTTGGTTGTTTGAAGTTGTTGTACCAATAACAATTCCTCATATGATTAAGGACCACACTGGCATATCTTAATTATCTTTGTATCCAACTAGTTTTGGTCTGTTAAAATCCTCAACTCAAATTAAGCAGATTGGATAACAAATTAACAATAACATTGATCATTCTTTATTTATTTTTATTTATTTTGGTCGAATAACATTTGATCATTAATAATTGATGAAGAAAGTATTAATATTATGATTTGAGCTGTACTTCCCAAGTCTTGGTCTTATTATCTTCGGATCCTCTTTGGGTTTTTGACTTTCAACCTTTCAAGAGAAATACCTTATGAGAACGTAATTACTTGTTAAGAGTTTTTTCTCTCTTTTTTTGGGTACAATAAAAGAGACGGAAAGTGAAAATTAAACTTTTGTATTGCGGCAGTACGCAACTATAAATGATATTTTAAAAGTTTTTCGGGCTATTCATAAGAAAATCTACCCACATTGCATTAAATTTTGTATCACCCCATATTATATTTCGTCAAAATTAATAATTTTTCATACTCTTAAGGCACATTCTTTGTGTCGGTTGTTACAATTCGTCGTTTGTAGGTAATGTGTCACTGGGAAGACAAATATTTAAGAATAAAACTTCGTGCACGGTTTTGGGCAAGTCAAAGTCTGAATGAATACTCTCTCCAGTTCTTAATATAAGGCATTTTGAGTTGTCTTATGTAGTACACATTTTTAATTAACAAAAAATTTTTAAAATATTTCATAACAATTAAGAGAATACAACGAATGTATAAATATATTTTTAGATTTTTTCGTCAATTAAAAATACGAATTAGGTGAAACTTATCAAAATCAAAATGCCTTATTTTAAGGACCGGAGGAAGTATTATAATGAGATTCCACCAACATGACTGAAGATGATTTAAACTTTGTTTCAGAACAAATTGTTGAGGTGTCTGAAAGCTCAATTGAATACGTTCATACAAAAAATGAAAAAGGATTTTGGTTGGAATTTTCAAGTGTCTGAAAGATAATTTTAACATTGCTAACCAACATGATACTGACAATAGATGACAATGGGATGGGATGTTAACTTTCTTGCACATTATGTTAGTTTTAATAGATCGGATCAGAACTCCAGAAAATTCAAAGGAAGACAAAGATTCAACAAAAAATAAATTAATTTTTTCACTTTTCTTTCTTTCAGAATTAAATATGAAAAGAGTAATCTGTTCAAATGATCCTTTACATTTGCCAGAAAACTTAATTTAGTCCTTTACATTAAAAACTCACTCATTTAGTCCGTTACTTTTGTCTTTTCAACTAATTTGGTCATTTTTATTTTTTTTGGCCCTTGACATTTGTGGGTTCTCAGGCCGATAAATTCTTTGTCAACTCAGCAGGGGCATTTTCGGTAATTTATAAATCTCATATTTTTAAAATATATAAAAAAATGTATTAAAATAATACTAAATATATTATATTAATTTATAATTTATTATTAAATGAGAAAAAAATTTAAAAATTCAAAAATAATATTATTAAAAAATTTAAAAAATTAAAAATCTAAAATCTGATTTATTTTTTTCAACCGTCGGCCCCAATCGAAATTTTTTACACTTGAATTATTCTGTTTTTATCATGTGGGGACCACATCTAATTTATTTTTCTCCTTATTCAGTATTTTTTTTCGTGAGTTATTTTGGTATAACGAAAAAAAAAATACTGCATAAGGGTAAAGAAAAAAAAAGATTTTGGCCCCACATAATAAATCATATTTTCAATCAAATCTCAAACTCAAACCAAAAACTAAAATAAACCATTATCTATATAAGCTATTTGTTTTTGTCATGTGGGGTCCACATCATTTTTCTTTCCTTACCCTTATTCAGTATTTTTTTCTTAGACCAAAATAACTCACAAAAAGAAAAAATATTGAATAAGGGTAAAGAAAAAAAATTAGATGTGGATCCCACGTGATTAAAACAGAATAATTCAAGGGCAAAAAATTTCAAGGGGGGCCGATGAGTAAAAAAAATAAATCTGATTTTGGATTTTTTTTATTTTTTAATAATATTATATTTAAATTTTGAATTTTTAAAATTTTTTCTTATTTAATAATAAATTATAAATTAATATAATATGTTCAATATTATAAATTAATTTTTTTCAAAAAATAATGTTTTGATTGGGGCCCACAGGTAAAAAAAATAGATTTTGACTTTTTTATTTTTCAATTTTTTAAATTTTTTAATAATATTATATTTGATTTTTTATTTTTTTTCTTTTTTAATAATAAATTATAAATTAATATAATATATTTAGTACTATTTTAATACATTTTTGGGTTTTAATATATTTTGAAAATCTGAGATTTTTAAGTTACCAAAAATGCCCCTGTTGAGTTGACCAAGAATGGGTGAGCCCAAGAACCCACAAATGTAAATGGCCAAAAAAAATAAAAAGGACCAAATTAGTTGAAAAGACAAATGTAACAGACCAAATGAGTGAGTTTTTAATGTAAAGGAAATTTTCTGCCTAATGCAAAGGACCATTTGAGTAGATTACTCTTTTCATATTTAATTACCGTAATTCAAATGCAACGAAAATTTTCTTGTCAATATATTGTATCATTATACATTTTGCATATAGTTTACTGTGATTAACTGATTATGGACTTGATTGTATATATTGAAAGTTCTATGGTATATTCGTACACTTGATAGTCTAGGTCGGTTAAGTCATTGATAATAATTAGTTTAGCCGTGTCAAGTCCTTTCTACTCTTTCCGTCTTCAAATTATTGTCCACTTGTATTTTATTTTTTGTTCAACTAAACTTAAATTAATTAAAAATCTAAACTGTACAATAATTTTAGGACGAAGGGGATACAATAAATTTAATATAGAGAATCTTAGTGTGAATTTTGACGCAATAATGAATTTGTTCATTCAGTTCAACTCAAGAACAGAAACCCTAAAATACTCTCAATTTCATCAAATTTCTTCAAATCTCCTTCCAATAATTAATCGAGAATTCTCTCGGTGCTTCTAATGGTTAATGTTTAGAGGGAGTGAAAGTATGTTGGAGTAATAAGGAAAAATGAAATTCTAAAATGTTGAAAAACACCAACTAATTAAATCTTGTGCTATAAATCTTCCGTCTTACTACTTTTTACCAAGTTAATATGAAATTGTGGGACAACTTTGTGAGTGTGCGTGTGCGGGCCTCCTCAAAGTGAATTATCAGAACATATGTTCATTGAACAAGGATCGAAAATGGAGTAGATTAGTAGAGTGTGAAACAATTCCCCCCTAAATTCCAAATGTTGCAAAGATGTTTTATTGTCAATGTTGAACTAACAGATTCTAAAACCACTGAATGAATTGAAATGGTACTTGTAGTGCCTTCAGTTCTCAATATATCCAGTCCATTGAATAGCCGAGATGAGAATTGGCGGAGATGAGAATTGTAGGGCGGCAGAATTTCGAATTTTGCGTGGAATGAAGTATTGGCGCATATTGTTTGGAATAGAGCCGCCAAATTCTTTTTCCCCCTCTAATTTGTACATCGATCGGGGGAAAGTGAAAATGATAGGGAAGCCACAATTTTGAAATTGCCAAATGTCATATGTTTTGGAAGATCATATTATATTACTATTAAGGATCAATTTTTTCTAAAACATTAAAAAGATAAAGAGAACTGTTTTACTTATTAAGGCATATTTTTGTGTAAATAAGCAAAATAGATAAATAAAGAGAACTGTTTTATTTATACTTTTATTAAAATTTAAAAGTTGATAAGAAAGAAAAACCCAAAAGTACCATGGAAAGAGCTCTAATTTGACAACCCCCCAAAAAAAAAAAAAAAAAGAAAAAAAAACTCTACTATTGAAAGGAAAAATGGGAAAGAAAAAAAAAACCATTTCCATTTAAAAAGAAAGAAGAAAAAAAACACGATCAGATCAGTCTTGGAGGTTACGACAACAAATTTAATTGGTCCCACAGCACACACAATTTTTACACTTATGTAAGCGATTCTTTCATTTAATTTCGCATACCGAACGTACTAGTACTACTCTCTCCGACGAACTGTCTCCGACGATCTCCTCCCTGTAAATCGATTTCTGACGTTTAATCAAGGTAATCAAAATTGATTTCTGGCATTTAATCGAATATTTAAGTTGAGTTCCGGTGTTTTTTTTTTTTTTTCATTTTTTGCTTCTAACTAAAAATGTTCTTCTTATATCGCCGGCAGTCATGGCTGATTACGATCTGGAGAATTCTCTGACTGAACTGCGTTTGTACGGCAACACAATACGAAGAATCGAGGGTATCCATGAAGATCGTCTGAGGTATGTTGATGCTGCTCGTGCCAGTAATCTTTACCGCCGTTTCTTCGCCGACGTTGCTCGGCTCCTGGCGAGTCTCTTCAAACGTCACCGTGTTCTGGCCAAAAGCCAGCGGGACATTGATATAATTCAGGAGCTCATCAACAGGAAGTCGGACTGGAATGTACAAGTTTTAATTTCTCGCGAATTTGAAGCAACGTACATCTATGCTGCTCAGCATGCTGACATCAAAGCTACTCTATTTGACCCCCGAGCGAGTCGTGCAGGCGGCGGCGGCGGCGGTGCCGGTTTTGAGAGAAGGATTGCTGCTACTCTTCCACGAGGCCCGGACGGGACTCGTGGCTTCCACTTCCCCAATCGTTGGCTTCGCGGACGTGGCCGGATTGGACGCCGGGGTTTCCACTGATTTATCTCTAAGGTGACTAATTACTTGCATCTTAATTTGAGAAATACTGTAGTTGAATGAAATATCTTGTGTTGTTTAGTGATACTTATTTAGCTAATATTGAGCTTGAAGAGATCATGGAATTCCCGTTTAATTAGTAAAAAGTGTTCTCTGGTTGCTTGTTTATTATGTTCTCTGAAGTTTCCCCTTCATACAAGTGATGTAAAATTTGTTGGTGTAAAGTGCTATATGATTGTCTCCTATTAATCACCCCACCCTACTCAAATGCTATTGAGTTTGACGAAAATTGCCATTTGATTAGGAAGAGTGCTCTTAATTTGGTTGCCTAGTTATAGTTCTGAAGTTTTCCCCTCATCATGCAAGTGATGATAAATCTTTTAATGCAAAGTGCTATGTGCATTGTCTCCTAATAGTCATCCTACCATACTCAAATGCTTCTCCATAACATACTGAAATGAATTGAAGCTATTGAGCTTGACAAGAATTGCCATTTGATTAGGAATCCGGTTGACTGGTTATTGTTTTCTGAAGTTTTCCCCTCATCATGCAAGTGATGATAAATTTGTTCATGGAACTGTCTTCTGTTAATCACCCTATTCAACTCAAATTCTTCTCCATTGAAAACCTGCTGATTGAAAATTTTACATTTTCATGCAGGATCGCTCACGCAGGGTAACGCTAGGTCTAGTGAGGATGGATTAATCATCATGCGAAGTATATCTAGTAGTACGTCGTCGACATGGAAGTAAAGAGAACTATAAGAAGTAAAGAGAACTGGGAATGAGAGTGGTTGGTGATTATGCCTATTGCCTAACAAAAGGAAATTTGTTGAAATTTGTCTTGTTGACTGTAGTACATATTTTCTTCCAAGTTTTGGTTTACTTTTGGGAATTAGTCCTGTTGTGAAATTCACCTGAAAACGGAATTCAGTTTCAATGGCTTTTCTATTTTCAAGTGAAGACTGAAGACTACAATACAAGGTATGGAATTTTTTCCCCTGTTTACCACACATTATGAGAGCGGGGATTATGCAACTTGTGGAATGTAGAGTTGTAGACCCTGCATCAAATTTCTCCCTCTTTATTGGTAAATCGCATATACTCCATTTGACTTCACTTTCTGATACTACGTATATAAACTGTTTTCCTTTCGGTCCGGTAATCACATATAACTAGGAGTAATGCCAAAATATCACTTAACTACTGCGATAATAGTCCTCAACCTGTAACTATAGTCAGGGAGTTCAAATCTTGACCAGGGTAACTTTAATCTGTTTGTTTCATTTTTTTTTTTATTTTTTCAGATTATTTTATTATTAACTGTTACATCTCAACATACCTTTTTTACATTTCCAATATACCTTTTTACATATCCAAAATAAAAAACACTTAAAAACACACACTAAAAAAATACTTAAAAGCAAAGCTTATAATTTTTTCAAATTTTCTGTTCGGTTGTCTCAATAATCAAGAAACTTATAATTCCACGAGAGAAATAAGTCACTAAAAACAATTGTCAGAATAATTTGTATGATGAGGCAAGTTTTTCCGAAGTGTGACTATCATATTGTAAGCAGTTATATACATCTAAGAAAATAGATAGAAATAATGCACAAAAATGCACAAAAATTTTGGTTTTCATACATTTTAAGAGTAATAATGCACAAAAATTTCCTCATGCTTTAAGAAACCACGAAAAAAACCCTCATAGTTTAAAAACTACATGAGAATCCTCTCTTGATTTACCACAGCGTGTAAAGTGGCGGAAAATAGTAACATTAACAGTGGTTGGTAGGTCACGCGCGTATAGAGGGAGGTGGATTTCTCTTTTTTCGGGTACAAATTTTTTAATACCGAAACTACCCATTATGTTATCTTCCTTCTAACCTTATTTTTTTTTATATTACAAAAAGTTCTTAAAGATTCTCTATTCTCTCTATTTTCTTTGGTCTCTGTATCTTCTTTGGTAAGTTCAAAAAATAATTTATTTTCTTATAATAATTTTTTTCCCAAAAATAAATTGCTTCTTCAATAATACTGATTTTAGAACAACAAAATCCACTTCAGAAATTCAATCAAAATCTATTACGTACAAACCAATGACAAACCGTCGTCACACTAGTCAAATATTAATTACCTACTTAATACAATTACTAGTAGTAAAGTAGTAAGCATGGTCGATCCCAAAAAGAAGGTTACCAAGTACCAGGTTAAAACTATTTCTTATTATTATTTAGATTAACAATTTATCAATTTTAAACTATTCTAAACCTAAAACTAACAATTAAATATAATTAATCAAATAAAAGAAAAACTAGGGAAAAGGGTTCACCTACCGACTACTCAGTTTAACTCAACCTATAGATATGTGACTTTGGACTTTTATTAATCTCACAACGATTCACCTATTTAAGAACTATTCACTGTCGTGATATAATTCTCTTACTCAAACTAACCATATGACTAATATCGTGACGATAGGATTAATAAGAGTACATTAAGAACCCTAGAATCTATAACTGCAAAGACGGTGTTCCTACTTTCGTGGCCCACTATCTAAGTTTAATATTTTCACGAACTAGTGCTAACCTTCAACCGTCGTTCCTTCAGTTAAACACCTTTAAAGCATGCAAGTGGTGATCAAATACTCACATGGAATAAAAACAAGAATATTAAATATCAACTAATGAAAAAGTTACAATCATGAATTAAATTAAATTAAATAGTACGGCGGCTACATCCAAAACCCTAGATTAAATAATTTAGCTACGTATCATCTCAAAAATAAATAAAACAATGAAATCCGGGAGAAAGTCAGCCGAAAGTTGAGTCTGAGGTTGATGCGTTGTTGCCTCCGATGATGCGTGAAGATGATGATGGTGTGGCGTGAAGTTGGTGTTGATGGGGTGAGATGGAGGCGTGGAATTTTGGGGCTGATTTGTTGTGGTGATGGGATTTGATGGTGATGATGCGTAGAGATGGGGTGATGGTGCTGCGGTGCGTGGAGATGGGGGTGATGGTGTGATGATGGTTTTCGGTGGAGTTGGTAGGTGGAGAAAGGGTTTGGTGCGTGGAGGTGTGGTGGATGATGATTAAGGTGATGGTCGGTAGAGGTGGGGGGCTGAGGTGATGGAGAAGTAGTTTTGTGGTTACATCTCTCCCCAAAAATAAAATTCTCTTTTTATAGGCTTTCCTCAAACCCTATTTCTTCATGAATAAGAAAGTTATTTTTCTTCAAGTCAATTTAAATTAAAACTCCTCCAACTCTTCAAGTGCTTCAATTTCTTCCTTTGAGTTGCTTTTTCTCTTCAATTTAGTCCAAAACTTCAACAATTCTTCCATTTGAGTATAATTCCTACAATTAAAGATAAAATCACATAAATAGGATATTTGTACTCAAAATATATTGCAAAAATCACAAATTAGGGATATAATAACTAGATAAAATATAAGCATATCAAATACCCCCAAACTTGAATTATTGCTTGTCCTCAAGCATTTTCAAAGATTAAAACAAATAAAAACAGTTAATTATTTAATTTTGGCGGTCTCAGAGATTTAATATCATATTACACAAAGACCTCGACTACCTCTAGTATGTATTAGCTAACAAAATGCAAACCATATGCACTTTTAGCCCTCATGCTTGTGTGTTTGTGCGATTCGTTTCTTAGGGACATCACTTTACATTTAACATAGAAACAAAAGCTCTACTGCAAATATGGCATTTTACTTTAACAACAGACTCACATTTCATACCATATCTCAATGCAATGAGCCACCAAACATACAATGAAGTAGAATGACTTATCTCACAGACAACATATTCCCCCTCGTAACCCATTCTTCGGTCCATGCGGCTTTTCTTCAGGACTCTTTCTAATTCAGGCCACTACCCAGAGCATTTTTCCACTCCTTTACATAGTGGCTCAGCAACTTAGGGCAGTCTACATATCTATTTTTCCTCATCGGGCCTGAGGACTCTCCACTCATAGTTGCCATTTCCTCACCTCTCAATGGGCTAACATAAACATTGAATGGTCTTCCTTTCTCCCTCTTTAAAATTAACCTAACCTCAGAAGCATCCGCCAACAGCCCTTCCCCAAACTTACTTAACACAAAGTGTCAAAGCAAAGATTTTTTAAGGCTGATATTGGGTTAATGTCTCGCTTTTCCTTCACAACATGTTGGGTTCCACATACAAATCATATAAGTATGAGTGAATCAAACATAACTTTTCATGGCATATCTACATCAAACTCATGCAACTATGTCTCACTTTAGGCTTATCCCACAGTCACGACTAAGTGCATAAAAAGTAGGGTATTCAAAGCAACATATAGAAATACACAAGTTAAGCAATACAATTCAAAATAGTCTAATTCTTACATGTTATAGATAATCAAACCATCTTCATCAAACCTTTTTTTGATTTTTCAATTTTTTTTCAATTTTTATGGGTTTTTGTTTTTTTTAAGAAAGATAAACACGAAACAAAAATATTCCTTTTCCCCACACTTAAAGCATACATTGCCTTCAATGTATAAAACACAAAAGACAAGATAAGTGAAAAGAAAAGAAAAGACAAAATTAAAAGAAATGAAAAGAAACGACACAACCTCGGGAATGCAAAACAGAGGACCGAAATTGTTGAATAAATTGTTGCAACTGCCATCCAAACACACGACCAACTTCTTCAGAATTTTGGATGTTTCATTTTCAGCACCACTGGACACCAGAGTTCCGCCCTTCCAACAAACCTAATTGCAAACTAAAATAAATTAGAAAAACAAATCTAAAAAAAAGATGACTAAGAAAAACCATGAAAATCCAGAAATCAAATATTTCCAAATAACCAGGAAAAAAAACATAACCACCAACTTATTTGCAAATTTAAGAAAATAAAATAAAGCAAATTAAAACTTAGGTTGCCCCTCAATAAGCGCTGTTTTATAGCCTTTAGCCGCACTCCATGGCCAATCAGTCAGAGTACCCATCTCGATACCAGAAGAAACCATGTTCAGCAACAACAATGAATCTCTTGTAGTGGTTTTCTTTTCGTGAGAAAATATAAACTTATACTCCAACACTACAACATCCTCTTTCTCAAATTCAATCTTGTACCATTGATTCTCTTCTTAGTCTTTCATTGAACCAACTTTCACATCATCCTCAAAATCTCTTATACTAGGAATACCCTCACCACATGTGTCTACTTCAAACCCTTCTTTTGAAACTATAGGAATGTTCTGCTCAGTGAAATGAACTTGATCGACATCCTTGTCACCAACTCTCAGAATGAGCGAATCATGCTTAACTTCTATGTATATACCAGAAGAATCATGAGAACTTGTAATATCTAGACTTGTAATCTCTTCGGTCTCTTCTAATTCTTCACATTCAAGCTCAGTTTGAGATGGTGGCTGGGGAGACAGGACCAATGAATTATCATCAGAAATCTTCTCATTCTTATTCAATTTAAGCAAACTTCCTATAGGATCATATTCCGGCAACCCCACACTCATCCTATATTGGTTGACTTCTTCAATAAGTTGTTGGCTTTTTTCACTTTGAAAATCTCGAAGAGCTACCTCTCTAACACTAAGTTGAGGTTGAGCTGGTGGCTGCTGATACGAAGATCCTAACTGTCTCAAAGTGGGTTGACAAAGTGATGACTGTAAGGCTGCTAGCTCTCTCAGAGTAGGTTAACGAGCTGCTAACTCTCTTAAAATGGGTTGAGGAGGTGGTGGTTGATATACTGATGCATTTGACTGGTAACAATCCTCTTGAGAGAAATATGAAGCATTTTTCTTCTCGATGTCATCCATCAATTTATCAATTATCTCTAAACATGACAACATCTTAGGACTCATATACGCGCTTTCAAAACTAGAATTGTACCCAGCATCAAATGAATACCTTTGATAATCACAACCATAGTAAGGATCAGAAGACGAATTGTTCCAAGAGTACGGATCTTCTTGATTTGTACGATAGTCTCCATATTCAGAATCATAACCATAATAAGGAGTCTCTCCATATCCCTAGTTAAAATTCTCCATAATAGCTCAAATATCCTACAAAAATATTGATACAAGAAAGAAAAGAGAATAAAGATAAAAATAAAAATAAAAATAAAAATAATAAATTAATAAAACAAAGGAAACTATATACAAATCTAAATTAATAAAAGAAATAATCTAGTTTTGATATTGGTAATGCTTTCCCCGGAACGGCGTCAAATTTGACAAGCCGTCGTCACATTAGTCAAATATTCAATTAGCTACTTAATACAATTACTAATAGTAAAGTAGTAAGCATGGTCGATCCCACAAAGAAGGTTACCAAGTACCAGGTTAAAACTATTTCTTATTATTATTTGGATTAACAATTTATCAATTTTAAACTATTCTAAACCTAAAACTAATAATTAAATATAATTAATCAAATAAAAGAAAAACTAGGGAAAATGGTTCACCTACCGACTACTAAGTTTAACTTAACCTATAGATATGTGACTTTGGACTTTCATTAATCTCACAACGATTCACCTATTTAAGAACTATTCACTGTCATGATTAATTCTCTTACTCAAACTAACTCTATGACTACTGTCGTGACTATAGGATTTAATTAGAGTACATTAAGAACCCTAGAATCTATAGCTACAAAGACGGTGTTCCTATTTTCGTGGTCCACTATCTAAGTTTAATATTCCCACGAACTAGTGCTAACCTTCAACCGTTGTTCCTTTAGTTAAACACCTTTAAAGCATGCAAGTGGTGATCAAATACTCACACGGAATAAAAACAAGAATATTAAATATCAACTAATGAAAAAGTTACAATCATGAATTAAATTAAATTAAATAGTACGGTGGCTACATCCAAAACCCTAAATTAAATAATTTAGCTACGCATCATCTCAAAAATAAATAAAACAATAAAATCCGGGAGAAAGTCAGCCGAAAGTTGAGTCTGAGGTTGATGCGTTGCTGCCTTCGATGATGCGTGAAGATGATGATGGTGTGGCGTTAAGTTGGTGTTAATGTGGTGAGATGGAGGCGTGGAATTTTGGGACTGATTTGGTGTGGTGATGGGATTTGATGGTGATGGTGCGTGGAGATGGGGGTGATGGTGCAGCGGTGCGTGGGGATGGGGGTGATGGTGTGATGATGGTTTTCGGTGGAGTTGGTAGGTGGAGAAAGGGTTTGGTGCGTGGAGGTGTGGTGGATGATGATTAAGGTGATGGTCGGTAGAGGTGGGGGGCTGAGGTGATGGAGAAGTAGTTTTGTGATTAAATCTCTCCCCAAAAATAAAATTTTAATCTTCTTTTTATAGACTTTTCTCAAACTCTATTTCTTCAGCAATGAGAAAGTTTTTTTTTTTTCAAGTTAATTTAAATTAAAACTCCTCCAACTCTTCAAGTGCTTTAATTTCTTCCTTTGAGTTGCTTTTTCTCTTCAATTTAGTCCAAAACCTCAACAATTCTTCTATTTGAGAATAATCCCTACAATTAAAGATAAAATCACATAAATAACATATTTGTACTCAAAATATATTGCAAAAATCATAAATTAGGGATATAATAACTAGGTAAAATATAAGCATATCAACCAAATATGTGGAAATTAACAAATTTTTTACCAACATAGGTCACCATAAATCAATACCCCAAAAAGAAAGAAAGACGCAGGCTTAAGGCCTGAAAGAAACTAGAATGAATGACTAGAAAACAATAATAAGGAAGGAATTATTCAAGAAACCTTGATCTGGCTTCACTTAAATCTAGATACTTCAGCAATTATTGTGAATATGAAGAAAAAAAGTATGTAAAATAACTAGAAGTGTTTTCAAAAAATCAGAACTGTTTAACCAAACCGTAAATTGTTAAGAACCGAGCTATTTAATCGGTCTAACAGTTATAGCGGTTAAATGGTTTTGATTAGCCGGGTTTTACTGGTAAATTGGATCGGTTCTCGTTCGGGACATCATCTACATCAATTTAACCATTTAACTGTTTATTATTTCATATGTAGATAAAATATTTTATTTTGTTAGGTTTAATTTTTATGTATGATGAATAAATAATTATGTGAGAATATAATATATTTAAATTCGTACTACTTAAATATAATTATATACATTGTTTTTTTTTAAAAAAAATTAGATGGCCCCAGTGAGAATCGAACCCTCAACTTCCTAGTAATAACTAATTAACCATCCCCATCCTAATCCACTAACCATCCCACCCAGCCCTCCCACCCCATAATTGTATACACTTAATTATAAGAAAATACCATAAGTTGGGGTTTCGTCTTTATTAAATATCTCAAGTTCAAATCGTCCTTATTAGATATCATAAGTTGTATTTTTGTTCTTTGATGCCTTTCCATCTCAGTACCTTAAATTTGTGACGGTCATCAGGTCAATTATTGACTTGTCAAAAGGGTATATTTGTCTTTTAAATAAAAATAATTAGAAAACCAAAAAAATATATTTTTATTTTTACTTCATTTTTTCAATTTTTTCCCTCTCGATTTTATTCATTTATTTTTTTATTTTTGTAATAAAAATAAATGTACTTTTAATTTGAATGCTTTCTTTATTGAAATACTAGCCTCGTTTTAGTCGTGTCGTGCGTATTTGTGGTGTATTGTAAATTGATTTTGATATTAATAAGTTTAGCACTTTTCCTTTTTTCCCATCTACAACTATTACTGTAGCTAACCTTATCATCTGTGCGGCACTGGCTTATTTTTTCTTATTCTTCACTGCCAATTTGCTAACATTCTTTAGCCGAAAACTCCCTCCAAATCCAATTGGCTTCCTGTTTACCACCGTCCGGTGTGTATTTAACGGTGAATAATCACAGTTTGAGGCTCTTTCTATTATTGCTGAGACAAGGTATGGTCAAGAAGTTTTTTCTAAAGATCGAGTTTTTATTGAAGAGAGTGTTTCCAAGTGTATCGGGCATCATTCTTCTCCACCTATTCCCGAATTAGGCCGTTCACTGTTGATTCCTGAGAGTATGTCCTTTAAATTTGGTTGGATTCCCGAGATTCAAAGTTTGCTATGAAAGATTAAGTTTTTTTTTTTTTTTTTTGGAGTAAAGACTAGGTTTTGATGCTAATGGAGTTTCATTGATTTTGGAAGCACTTTTCTATCTCTTGTATTGAAATCCTAACATATGTAACTAAGCTTCTCGTCTGTGTTGTTGATCTCTGATACTCTGTTTCAGTGTTCTGTGATCTTTATTGTTATTGTTATTTTTATTTTTGGACTAGAATTTTGAGGAGCAGCTGCAGCCAATTTGTTCAGAAAGAAAGCATCGATTTTTGGTGGGACAAATGGCTGGCGGTCTTTCTGATTTTCATGTAATGAAGGTGATCTCCTTGATTTTGCGACAATATTTCACTGTCCTAATTGATGTTTTACAGTAAAATAGTTTAGGTTAGCTTTTTTTGTTGGGGGCTGGTCTTTGGTTTGATAAATTTTTCTCCATTGAATAGTGCACGAACAGTGAACAGTACCCTGAAGATGAGGACCGAATTAGTCTGCTTTCAACCGATATCCTTGTTCATATCCTATCTTTTCTAAAACTGAAAGAAGCTGCTCGAACAAGTCTTGTTTCAAAACTTTGGGTTGGACTTTGGATGTTTGCTGTTGTTCAACTCGATTTTGATGCTTCTAAAGTGTTACTAGAAATAGCTGCAGTGAGATCCGAACCTAGTTTCCTTAGCAAGAAGAGGTGCCATTATGTTGAATGGGTGAATAAAGTGCTGCAGTCACACAAAGCTATGGTGATCGACGAGTTTAGGATTTGCTTTGAATTGGACGAATCTTCTCAAGATGATGTTGATGAATGGCTTCTCTACGCATTTGCTAAGAGGGTTAAGAGTTTGCAGTTGGACTTTTTACAATTTGGCATGCCCACTGCTTTTGTTTTAGAGCCTTATCTTTTCCCTTCTTGTAGGATCTTTGACCAGAATGTTGAGGAAAACTCAATTGAATCTCTTTCTATCATTCATACCAAAAGCTTTCGTACCCTGAGAGTGACGGACTTCCAGTCCCTAAGATCATTAAGATTAGCTGGTGTCGATGTGACAGGCGAAACTCTTCATTTTTTAATGGAGAAATTCCATTTGCTTGAACATCTGGTAGTAATTGGTTCACAATCGGAAGATTTGTCAAGTGTCTTGGTTTGTGGTTCATCATCTCTAAAATATCTGGAGTTAACCCATTGCCGATGTTTAAAATCCATCATTGTGCGTGATGCACGACATCTTGTCTCACTTAAATATACTTGGGTGAGTAACGTGGTGCTTGAAAATGTTCCAGAGCTTGTTGATGTATGGGTTTCTGGTTGGAAGTTCAGTCGAATGATCCTTCAGCTTTCCAGCCTCCTAACAAGGTTGGAAAGTCTTACATTACGTGTCTCGAATTCTGATGTTAATGAGGTTAGTCTCAACTCATTCAGTGAAATTTGGTGTAACACTACTGTTCGTATTTACCTGTCAGCTTACTGTCTTGTTTTATTTGTTTCATCTTCACCTATCCAAGGACGTCACAAGGTTTCTTAAAGTTCCCCATCCAATTGGGTTGAAGCAATTAACCTTGGATGTTCGAGCTTCTGAAGACGATAGCCTTCTTCGTTTAACTTCATCATTCATGAAGTCATGCCCCAACTTGGAGAAGTTTGTTCTAAAGGTACCTATGTCATCTCTTGCATATATATATATATATATATATATATATATATAGACACACACACACACACACACACACATATATATATATATATATATATTAGTTTTTGTGCCCTTATTTTGTATTCCCTCTGTTCCACAAAGATGGTCCACATTGCAAATTGTGGATTGTTCAATTCTCAATTTGTAACCTAGATTGTTTTTATGGGACGGAGAAAGTATGCGTTAGTGCCCTACGTTCTAAAACTGCTAGCAGCTTATTCAAGCTCTCCAGAAGGATCTTGCTCATCTGAAGTATTCTAGATTAGTGTCTGAGTTTCAAAGTTTCTTCTTGTGTAAAACTTATGAGTAACTTTCGACTATTTGCCATCCCTATCACCTTGCTGTTTCCTTGTGCTAAACTCTTACATCTGAACATAAGCAACATCATTTGGGTTACTCTTGTTTTCTCAATGTAGGATTTATGTCCTTCACAACTTTGTATTGGCTTGTAGGTGTGAATGTTTCTTGACTGCATTTGACTAAATTATTTCTGATTTGTCATGTTGTGTTGGTATTTCCAGTTGCACTGGTTGCCCAGTTGTTGTATAAGTAATAGACAATTTAAGAGAGTTCCAAGTCGACCGCACAAGTGTCTTAAAGTTTTTGAGTTTCAAGGGTATTATGGTCGTAAAGCGGACGATGAGATTATCATGTACTTTCTGAAAAATGGCACTGCCCTAGAAAGAATAATACTTGACCCTCGTTGTCAAACTTTCTGCTTTCGCCAACGTATAAGGGAACCTCGGACGGAGATCGCCAGAATTCGTGCTGAGGAGTTGTTTAAGGGATTGATAAGGCCTTCTGTTGAATTAGTTATTTAAGTTTCCTGTGGGCTGTGGCATGCTCTTGTTGTAAGTGGTCTTTGTTATTTTGAATTTGCATTTCATTGATCCCTTTGCACCGGTGAATTAAGGTGCATTGTGAGTTTCAAGTAATAATCAGTCCCTTTGTGTGGGGATGGTTGGTGGGTAGGGTTTAGAGGTTGGTTGTTGGTCTATCATACAATAAGACGGAATATGTATCTGAATTTTAGAATGCGCTTTTTGATGTTGTAATATAGACAGCTTTTAATCTCATATTTCTTAATCATTCTTGGTATGTTTAAATCCTCAACTCAAAGCCTGAACCGGTTTCGACATTTTGGCCGGAATCCAAATGCAGCAAATATTCTTGTCAATATATTGTACATATTGTTTATAGTTTACTGTGATCAGGGACTTGATTGTGCATATCGAAAGCTCTAGGGGATATTTGTACATTTGATACGAGGTCGGTTAAGTTGTTAATGGTTAGTTTAGCTGCGTTAATTCATTTGTACAGCGTATTTAATACCCAGACTCTTCATCCGAATTGCGACATGGTATTAATGAATTTGTTCATTCAAGGCCGCTGATTAATTCAGGAGCATTTTTCATTAAATCCAGAGCAAACTTTTCTAAAACCCAACATTCAGAATCTCGCCAACCAACATGATAATGATACCTGGAGACTCTTGGAATGGTAACTTTTCAACTGAAAATGCTGCCCAGAAGATCAAATGGGAGGTCCTCCCACTGTAGGATATCAAGAGGAATGAAAATTGTAAGACTGGATAAATCACCGAAAAAGGTTTCGACTTTTTAGCCAAAATCCAAATGCTGCGAAAATATTCTTGTCAATAGATTGTACATAATGCGTTGTACATTTTGTATATAATTTATTGTGATTAAGGACTTGATTGTATATATTGAAAGTTCTAGGGTGTATTTATACATTTTATTGTCTAGGTCGGTTAAGTTGTTGATAGTAATTAGTTTAGCCGCGTCAAGTCCTTTCTTCTATCTCCGTCTCAAAATTATTGTCCATTTAGTATTTTACTTTTTGTTCAATTTGAATTTAAATTAAAAATTCAAATTATACAATAATTTTAGGACCGAGGGAATACAACGAATTTAATATGCAGAATCTTAATATGAATTTTGACGCATTAATGAATTTGTTCATTCAATTCAACTCAAGAACATAAACCTAAAATACTCTCAATTTCATCAAATTCCTTCAAATTTCCGTCCAATATCAGAATTCTCTTTAGAGGGAGTGAAAATATGTTGGAGAAATAAGGAAAAATGAAACTCTAAAATGTTGAAAAATACCAACTAATTAAATCTTGTGCTTCAGGTCTATTTTATGCTTTACACTAAATAAGTATCGGGTAGCCTCTTTTTTTGCTGAGCTTAATTGGTTTCAATAATTCTTTCTCCATTGAATAGTGCACGAACACTGGGCAGTACCCTGAAGATGAGGATCGAATTAGTCAGCTTCCAACTGATATCCTTGTTCATATTCGTTCTTTCCTAAAACTGAAAGAAGCTGCTAGAACCAGTCTTGTTTCAAAGCTTTGGGATGAACTTTGATGTTTGCTGCTGTTCAAGTCGATTTTGATGCTTCTAAAGTGTTACTAGAAATAACTGCAGTTAGATCCGATCCTAGTTTCCTTAGGGATAAGAGGGGCCAGTATGTTGAATGGGTGAAAAAGGTGCTGCGATCCCACAAAGCCATGGTGATCGATAAGTTTAGATTTTGCTTTGAATTGGACGCTTCCTCTCAATATGATATTGATGAGCTTCTCTATGCATTTTCTCGGAAGGTTCAAAGTTTGGAATTGGACTTCGTAAAATATGGCAACCCAAATTTTGCTGTTTCAGAGCCCTATCTTTTCCCTTCTAATAAGATCCTTAGGCTGTCGGAATTCAAGTCTCTCATATCATTAAGTTTAGCAGGTGTTGATGTGACCGGGGAAACTCTCAATTTTTTTATTGAGAAATCCCATTGTCTGGAACATCTGGTAGTAAGTGGTTGTGGCTCGAAAGATTTGTCAAGCGTCTTGGTTTGTGGTTCATCTCTAAAAATCTGGAATTGACCTCCTGCGTATATTTAAAATTCATTATTGTGCGTGATACACTAACGTGATCATTCCAAGTCATAATGATCACCACATTATTATGTATTCATATGACTTGAACATCTCAAAATTGATTTATTTGGCAAGTGTTGATGATGTGATCTGGATGTGCCACTAAACGTTATTCCTAATTTTGACAATCATTACATTGATTTTGATCATGAAGAGATTGAATGAAATCATATTGGAGTTGGTATCAAGGACGATGGAAGATTGAAGCCAAAGAATGGTTCACGTCGACCAAAAGAAAGTCGACAATGAAGCCGATAGGAGACCGTCGACTGAATGGCCTAGAAGAAGAAGCCGACTAGAAAGCCGACAAAAAACGTGCATAAATTCTGAATTCACGTAATTTGGAATTTGTGAGTTTTACTCTTTTACTACATGTTCAAGTCGGTTTTACAGACCTCATCTCCTAATTTTTAGGAGTTTTATCTCTAATTTTTAGAAATAAGATCATTTAAATCTTATCACACTTGTGGGAAGATAAAATTTGGAGTAATCCCTATCTTTTAGAGATAAGATCATTTAAATCTTATCATGATCATGGAAGAATAATATTTGATGATTCTATTTTATCTGCTTTTGAGTTTATTTACAATAAGAAGTCTATTCATTGGTGTCTACTCAACCCTTAGATGAAGATTAGATCAAGATTGTATGGTTATGAAGTCTTTCCTTGGTGTCTACTCAACCGTTGGATGAAGATTAGATCAAGATTGGATGGCTATGATTACTCTACAAAGAAGATATTGATAGTGTTGATAACTCAGGAATATTCTTTTCAAGATAAAGATAAGATTCTTTTGAGAGAATATCTCTTTGTATTTGGAGTTTTACTTTCATTAGACTAGTGTGTCTTGAGTCAATAAAGTTGTCTAGATACATTACTTTAATAAATAGGACACAAGTTGTAAAGTTAGGAGTTTATGAAACACAAAACGATTGATGTAATAGATAGGACAAGTTGTCAAGTTAGAAGTTTATTTGATTTCTAGTTCCTTAAAGTATGAATAGAGTTAGAGATCAAATTTTTCTCCTACTTAATTTTTGAGATTTATTTTTTTTTCTTAAAACAAATCTAGTTATTCAATATCTTTTTAGTAACATAGTTGAATAAGGTTTTTTTTTTAGATTTAGTATTAAAAAAAATGGAAAACCCTTGATATATATCAAAACAATTATTGGGTTTCAAATTCAATTTGTATTGATGAAATAATTTCAAGTATAAATTGAAATGAAAGATAATAATCTACTTAAGGATGTTCTTGAGGGGGTTGTAATAATTTTATTCCTTTAAAAAAAAGTTATCAATATTCGTGAAGGATATTATTTCAAAAACAAGAATTAATTGTTGTGCAGTTTGACAATTGAATATACTTGAAGTTACTTGTTTATAGTAAGAATTGAAACACTAAGGAGGTGCCTGTTTCGGTGGTTTCATATCTAAAGAATGGGATTCATAGTTAATTTTGTAATTTCCCTTGCTTGGTTCATGGATTTGGAATGATGGGGTCCCGCAAAATCTGGATTGAATCCCAAAATTGCATTCCCTGCCATTTTGGAAGATATGACTCTTTTTAATAAAAATTCTCATGACTATCCCTCCGTCCTCGCCTCGTCATCTCCTCTGCAACCTCCTTCTCCCTTCACCCACAATATCTCACCTCATCCATTAAAGAAAGATCAAAACCCAATTCATGGCCTCCTTCCTTCATCCACACCTTCTTACCTCATTCTTTAAAGAAAAATCAAAACTCAATTCAGAGCCTATTCATATTTTGCTGAATTGAGAAACCAAAGATGCAATTGATAATTGTGTTTTAATGAATCTCCGATGACTCTTTCCCCCAAATCATCCTCTCTGTAACATTTCTATCCATCTCCTCATGTTGCTACTGCTATAGTCACCGTACTCTGTCAATTTTGCAATTCTTTTTACTGTGATTTGAGTTTAATCTGCAGATTTGCTCAATGATTAAATTAATTATTTTTTTTGGGGGATTATATTTGAAATATGTATATTGAGGGTTCTTGTATGAAATAGTGTAACTAATATATGTTTTGGGGATAGAAAAAGTTTGAAGGTGGTTTTGAGGAGTAATAGTGGCGACGTCAACTGCAATAAGGAATAAGGTGGTTTTGATGAAGATTGGGGGCGGCGGATGAGTAACAAAGACGATGGGTGCAAATAGTTTTTTGCATGAATAGGGATAAAAACGTATTTTTGACTCACCCTAATTTCACCAAACATTCGAACCAAGCAGTGACAATAGAGTTTTGATACTCTTTGGTTGAATAGATTCATACCTCTAGCCTATGAATCCCATTCCATGGTATCAAACCTTTCCTCAACCAGATACCCCCTAAAATAAATAGTACACCCTCCGTCCCATAAAAATAACTCACATTGAGTTTTTTGTGTTGTATTAATATTAAAAATAGTGACAATCACAAAACTCGACTATTTTTTGGGATAAAATGAATACTAATTTAATAAATGATTATGTTTATCAGTGATTAAGCCTTCTTTTTCCAAAAGAATAAAAATGTATGTTTAACAGTAATTTCATTATACACAACTAAAATTTTTTAGGTTCTTTCAAAAGGGGGCCCTAAGCTATTACTTTACTGGCTTTATAGTTAAGTTGCCTCTACACATTCTCTCTTGCGGATTTTTTCTTCCTTTAATTTTTATTTATTACTTTTGAATGAAGGAGAGAAAGGGGTGGATCACGCTTTGAGTGATTCCCTGTCTCATGTTCGTAAGTGTAGAAATTCGAAGTGGAGAATTGAGGGAATTCATAATGCTCGATTGTGTAGGCTCAATCCAAATTGGGATAATGTACTCGATGGGCAGCTTTTTGCTAATGCCTCCACTATAGAGAGAATGATTCTAAATTACAACCGCATTTTTGGCTTATAGCCCATGGATTTGGACATCATCATGGAATTTTTTTAGAAAAAACGTGAAATTTTGTTTACTGTTGTTTCCATTAAAATTTGATAGCAATGGAATGAAATATGAACTATAATCTATCAAATTTTTTATTGTACTTAAAATATTGAGCTATATCTTACCAATTTGTTGACGTGCTTGAAGTCCCGTGTGTTGTTCAGTGATAGTAAGCTATTAAGCTTCAAACATTTGTCGTTCAATACGAAAAAAAAAATTTCTGGTTTTTTTGGTTATTGTTCTACAAAGTTTTCCCTTATACATGTTTTGCTAAGTTTACTCATTCTCCCTCATACAGAGATATGGCCGATCTTGCTTTGAAGGATTCGCTCACAGAGCTCCGTTCATA